CACTTGGCCTCTTTACAAGCCCCTGCTCAGCTCGATAAGAAGTTACTGAATGAAACAGCCACATTCTTTCTCTTTCTCAGCTATTCTGTTTCCTTTTCTGTCTTTAACTGAATGTCCAGCATTTGAGGACATTCTAAAATGGCCCATATCCCACATTTTTCTTGTCCTTTATTTTTTTCTTTGTTTGTGTTTATGTACCACAACAATCATTTTACATGACCATTTTCTAACTTCTCTTTAGCTCTTAGAATAAAATAGATTATTTTTATTACTGTGCCTTTAGGATTGATATATGTAAATGATCTCTGTTCTGATTGGCAGTGCTGTATTGTGTCTCATTCAAAAAGCAGTCTGGGTTGAAACACTCCTTATAACATCAGCGTGAGTGGGTGGGGCTAAACTGCTGTAGGCTGAGCATTTGGATATATGTAAATGCATTATTTTTTGGGACATCACATACACAATTCATTCAAAATATATGGACTGGGGGATAAACGTTATGAAACTCTGACAATGTTTACATGCTACATCGAACTTTTTCATTTCAAAAAAGTGAGGAAAATTTGGTTACCCATGATACACTTTAAGCACTCAAGCTATTTCAAGAGTAAAAAAAGACCACATCCCATTTGGTAGAAGGTTTTGTGTGTTCTCACATGAAAATATCAAAGGAGAAACCTTTCTTGATTTTTTCGATGTGGGTATCATTGCCCTTCTGGCCAGTCATGCACATTCAGGTATAGATGTTTCAGTCTCTATAAAAACACCACAAATAATCTGGATAATCATTAAACAGATGAACTCCATGTAGACTTTGCAGTTGTTCAACAGAGTGCTGTTTCTCTGACGTTCTTGCTGAAAGCCCAACTGGAACAGTCTGGTCTCTGCACAACATAATGGAGTAATAATGAGCTCAATACAAAACCCTAACACAGTATCGCTCCCTCCCCTTCTGTGTCGCACCATAAGTGGTTCCCATATGTGGTACTGTAAACCTTCACAACATAAAGGTTCCCGGGGGAGCTGTGCTGACCTTTGCTGAACCTCTCCAGCACAATAGATGGGAGGAAATATTTACACACACCAAACTGAACTAACTACACTTTACAGGCAGAATCAAGAGCACCATGTTAAAGTGTTATTGATAAGTAACATTAACTTGGGCTGTTAAATCGGTAGTAACTGCAGTAAGTGCTATTTGTTGTAGCCTCATTTAGTGCAATTATGGTATACTTTACACCTATTTGTTCATATTTACTTACATGTTAGTTTTACTATATGTTTACAGATGTAGTAAATGATGCTGTGAAGTTTTCGTAAGTCAGTCAAATATACAATATCATACACACTGATTGTCAACCTCATTCACTGCCAGCTCAGTGTGTGCTCTGTGCACATACTCAATATCATCATTCTGAACCTCGTTGTCATTCGATTGTTCCACAGCCCAGACTGGGCCCAGACTTGTGGCCTATAATTTCATTTTATATGAAGATCGGTGAGTAGTTAGCAGAATCCATATTCCTCCCGACACTTTTCTCTCTTTCATTAAGCCACACTTAATTAATAAAAAAAGGGAAATTACATTTCTATTGACACTGAGCTGGACTGAGTGCATGGATCTGCATTAAAGGGTGGGGTGGGGGGGTGTTAGTGTTGTTGAGGTGTTGCTCAGAGCAGATGGGCCTCGCAGCAGCGTTTTTTGGGGGACCCCTCGCCCCTCGACAGGGCCGCTGGAGTCCCACACTAGCGGGCTGAGGGGAGCCAGGTGGCCACGGCCCCTCGGACCAGCTGGGAGAGTGATGGGCCATCTGACATTCAGGGAGAAAATGATACACTTTCCCCAACACACACTTTGCATGTCAATACCTCCACGGTACAATAAAACACAGAGAGAGAGAGGGAGGCCAATCAAGGAATAGAGCTAATTATCGTGGCAGTCTGCTCTTTTTTCTGTTTTTTTTTTTGTGCACTCGAGAGCACAGTGCCAAGAGGATAATGAGATAACAGACCCAAAATGTACACGAACAATGCCTGCAGTAAAATGCTATAGAGCAAATGGGGCATGTATACTGTCACCAAAGAAGAACAGCAGTTGAGCTTTGTTTGGGGAAAAAAAAACAAGTTTGTATACAGTGCTGTGCCATTAAATACGAGTTATTCATTATTTTTTAGCATTTTGAGAAACTTGCTTTCAGTTTCTGAAAGACATCTGCAGGGATATTTTCCCACACATTCAAAGTTAAATCTTTCTGCATCTCAGGATCCACGTAATCCCAAATATAGATTTAGACTCGTCAGTCCATAAAACCTTACTCCACATCCCAGATGCCGTTTCTGTGTTCAAGTGCAGATGTTCTTCTTTTTTGTCTATTTCCTTTTCTCAGTAATATCTTCTTGACAGCTACACATCCTTTCAGACCCATAGCACTGCGTTGTCTTCTCACACTGGAAAGATGGACAGAAACACCTGTGGATGTTTTCAGATCTGAAGTAAGAGTGGAGCTTGATTTTCTGTTCTCTCTCAAAGATGAAAGCTTTAAGTGCTGTTTATCTGATGGGGACAGTTAATCAGATGGTAACCAGGTCTTGCACGGTTGTTAGGAGTCCCATTTTCTCTGTATATTTTAATCATTTTTTGAACTCCAGTTTTGGAAACTTTTCAGACCTCATGAAAAATAAATAACTTTAACTCTGCACAATATCCCTTGACGCAGCATGTGTACTTTTTTCAGTTGTCAAATAAAATAAAATGTTTATTAATAGAGAGTTTGACTGGTGTCAGTTTGTGATGTAGTGTGATTGAGTATGTTGAGATTGAGTATGTTGAGATTGAGTATGTTGAGATTGAGGGGGGGGCGGACAGACACTCTTTTAGCTCGTTAGCCACGATGCAGCAGTGATTGTGGAAAAAGCTCAGTGCCTCCTGGGATCCAGCCTACAGTGAGAAAGAGGCATCTGCATGACCTTTTCACCTTTAAGATTACTGTGGGTCGGGGGTAATTGAGGCATCTCTTCTTTTTTCTCTCTTTTTAAACTCCACGTTAGGGTCAGCCAGGCGTTCCCGAGTGACCAAGAGCCAGGGTCAGCAGCTGACATCCTCTCTCTCTGCCTCTCTCTCTCTCTCCCTCATCTCTCTTGCATGGACCCCCTCCCACCTGTTATTTGAGAACACAATGGGTATGGATGAAAACACACGAAGGATCTGAAAATGACTCATTCACAAAGATCGCTGCTCTTGAATTGGTGTCAGCTATATTATTATGGGTTACTTGCGGCTTGTCAGGTTTTTGTTTGTTTGTCTGTTTTGTTTTGTTTTTTAGCAACACTTCAGTCCTATCAAGCATATTACCAGTAGTTTTTGTTGTAATATCTTATACATGCTGTCATAATTTCACTGCTGTCCAACATTCTATTTAACCCTTTTATACTGTTAAGTAACTGACATCATGGCATAATCATTCAGTTGTGCAAATGTCAGCATAACGTGTTTCATCTTAGATGAAGTTCACACAATATATAGCCTTTTCTGTTATTCTGTAAGTGCCATTAGGACATCATCACTCTTCAGGAACCTCTTTCTAACAGTTCTAGATAAACTAGACAGCACATTTTTTTTTGGAAAAGCACACATCTCCATCAAAATGTATTTTATCAACATAAAACAATTCATTGTGAGAAACTGAGGGAGATTTTTCTCAAATTTTGATCATAAAAAAATGTCAAAAATAAAAATATATTTATCTCAGCATATTTAGTCAGTTTGCATCCACTTGTGTAAACTAGCAATTTGAAGGCTTAGGCTTTTACAGGTTTATTCCCAACCTTACTCTGCAGGAAATTACAGAAGGATATTCTAGTAGACTGCTCATAGCTGAATTTATGATATATTTTGTAGTACAAAACAACTGTTTTATAATAACAGTGCATGATGATTTCTTTTTTTAAAAAATATCATTTCAGTAATCAGCTCTAGAAAATCTCTTCTGTTGTGCCTTCATGTTTTAATTCTGACATCCAAAAGCCAAATCTTTTCATTTTTGTTTTTTTTTATTTGCAAATGTATGCACCTCATTTGCATATCTAAAATGTATTTTTATGCAAAAAAATCAATACATAAAATACTTGTAAGAAGCAATCAGCTGGCAAAGATTCATTCAGATCTAACTGTTTTGTAGTGTTTTGCCTTAATGCAAAAGCACACTGACCAACAAACACAAAAGCTATGATGAGGTTGGATTGTCTGTTCTGGTCATTCTAAAGACATTCAAATTTGGGTGTTTGTTGCAGAATGTTTGGTCGGCGTGTTCTGGCCTTTACAGTTCCCTTTCCTCTCCTTCCACCCCCACTTGCCCTGAGTCAGTGGGGCCTCACGTCTTTGTCCATGTGGCTGGACTCAGCAGAGCAGAGGGGAAGGCGATGGAGAGCAGCTGCTGACTGGACACCTAAGAACAGTTCCCATCGAGGCCCGTCAGCAGGAACAGCAGTGATTGCTGTGGCATGCTAATGCCTAAAGCAGGGCAGTGAGAGATGGGGCCTGGGGGTGGACTAAGGAGAGGACCCTCAGCTACATGCACACATGCATGCACAAAAAATGGTATTCTGAATGGTTTAGGTTTGGCATTCAGATATTTGTGCTCATATTGACCTCGTTCACTGAAGCAGACTGTCCCCTCCACAGGCTGAAATTCCATTCACTGTCTCAGTGGTACTTCCTAGCATGCTAAAAGACACAAACCCAGCTAGGCCAAAACTGCATCCAGCTTGTCACGGCCTCACAGGCCATAAGACACTTGTAGAGTGCTTCTATAGACACTTCAGCTGGAAAACACTAGTTTTATATCACAGCCTTTGTACAGGTTTGTTAACAAGAATCTAACGTTGTGCAAAGTCTTCCACAGAAAGGTGATTTTTAGTTTTTATATATATTTTTATTTTTTAACAATTTAATAAAGTATTTAATAAATTAAATACTTGTCTGTAAATGTCATCTAGAAGCTGCCCCTGTAAAATAGCACAGTGCTCTAAGTATTAGACAGACCAAGTCTGTAATATGCCTACTTGTAAGATCAACAATACATGGAGAATTAAGTGATTATCTGTCGCCATCTAGTGGTAGTGTTTGTTCATTTGTTTAATAAATTCAGGGTCACCGCCGATGCAAAGGACTTACAATGCAGAATCAATGATTAAGTATAAGTGTTCATACTATCACATTCGTACTGAAGTGTTCAAAATAAATTACAGAGCTTCGAAATCATGTTAATCATTACTGCACTCTAAATATTATGATGCTCTAAATTGTAATGTCTGTAACAGAAGAGTGCTAATTGATCATGGACTCAGAATTGTGAAATGTGATAACATTACAATAAACAGACATAAGTGCAAAATAGTAATTATAAAAATGTAATTCTGGAATTTAAAAAAAAACAAAACAAAAAAAAACACATTAACAATAAAGCCCCCACAATGTAGTGCATTGCTAAATAAGAAATTCAGCAAGAGAAATCCAGAGAAAATCCAAAAACTTAGTATCATTCTGTTATTTACTGTCAAAATAACATTTTTCATTATGCTAACTTCAGTGTAGTGCAATTCAATTTCAGTACAATTCAGTATAGTCACACCAGCAGCCACTTTCATAAAACACTAAGTATTTTTACTTAAGTTAACTGCTTAAAAAGGTACATTTAAAAGCTACACATTTAAATTTAAATTTTGTAATTGTCAAAAAAACTTGTGCTTAAATGTGCTTAAAATAAACATCAGGTCTAAAACTTACAATTACATATTTTTTCACGTTCCATTTAAACATTTCCTTGGAAAGATTTTACGCAGCTCACTTAAGGTAAAGGGAAAACTTAAAGGGGAATTCCTTTTTTTGTTTTGGTTTTTTTTCCTGCACAGTTAAATGGTTAGGATACAAACCAAGTCATTCAGAGCAGTGTGATGTAAAACCTCCTTTCACAGTGTTCACAGTGATTGTGATATGAACCAGATGGCTCTAGAGCTCAATGTCTCTACAAACTCCCTCACAGAAAGTTATAACATGAAATGGTTATGAATGCACTGCCAGATGCCCGAGACATTGTTTTACAAGACTTTTGACAAGACTTTGGCCTAAAACATAGTTTTGAAAAATCCATTCATGGTGGAAAAGACAAAAAAAAGCAAAATACAACTTAAAGAAAGCTAATTTTCCAGATTTATCACTATTTTACCATTATCAACACAACATATAAAACTCAGAAGGCACATTTAGGCTCACTTGTCATACTGACTAAAAATATAATGGCTGTTTTTGTTATACACATCGCAACCCCTGGTTCCTATCACCACTGTAAAGAAATCTGAGACTGTGAGTTTCTCTACAAGGAGCCATTTTACATAAAATTTTGAAAAATTGTGGAATTCCCCTTTAAGGCTAAAATGTACTTGTTTTATCCAAGTGACTGCTAGTTCTACAAACATGTTTTTCATTTACACGGCAGCAAAAAGCAACATGTAGCCTACTGTCTAGTTGGGGATCAGCATACGTTATTCGAATGAATCTTAACATGATTCATAACTAGAGATGTGCTGATTTAGGGTTATTGGCTAAAACTTACTTTTTGTTTTCTAGACTGCATGTTTGCTTCAGCTGAGCTGAAATTTTAAAATTTGGATGTAGTATCAGAAGTCATTCTTTCACAACTGAGAACCTTGATGGAGATTCAAACTTCATGATCAGAAATGCTGGAAAGTCCATACATGTCCATACATGAATTTTGGATTCATGGCAAAGACATATGTTTTAATGCCAATACGGTAAAACAGGAGTGTACAAAGTGAAGTACTAGATTAGCATTGATCATTCATCGGCTGTACTTGTCCTTACCACATGGTGGCACTGTTCCTGACACCACATGAGTTGATCATAATGGGCACTTGGTGTTGCAGATATCCCCTGACTGAAACAGATGATAAATGTTGACCAGAGGAAACATTATGAGGGAGCCCACCAGCGAGCCAAGCTGCACTGCAGCTCCACACCACACGAGGGCATTGTGGCTCTGGTCCCTTAGAATGACACCCACCATCACCTTCACATACGACAGCAGACCGGTGAAGAAAACCCATGACAGCACCTAAGAGAGATGCAAGACATGTGCTTGGGTGATGCAGTGCTCACACACTACAATGTACAACGTTAACAGCAAAGAGCACTTTTTTAAGGCAGCAACAAAATGTATTTAGACCTCCCACTCAAATCATGCACAACTGACTAACCATGAACAGTCAGCCATCCCATATTTAGTTGTGAACGAGATCACCGCTACAGTGCAGCACTACTATGTTAAATTCCAGATTTTTGGGTTGGCTGTATCTTGATAGAGCTGTCTTAATAAAAAGTAAACCTACACAATGAGAATGGATTGATTTCTCACAAGATATTGTGAAGGTAATCCCTAAATAAGTTAGGACCAACAACACCCAGTGACTTACGATTATAGCTTCTCCAACTGGTGAACCTTGCAGTAATGGACAGGGACTCATGGCTGCCATGGCCATGTTGTACCCACCAAAGCCAGTACCCAGCAGGCACAGAATACCTAAGAACACCAGTGAGCTAAAAAAGAAAATCACATACATACATCATAGCAAATAGCTTTGTGTCAGTCAAATCCTTATCAGTTAAACGTAAGGGATTCCTACAGATGCTACACCGCAAAAAATACATCTAAATCTAGTCAATATATCATCACTGTCATTCAGAAACCTTGTATCTCCATTTTTGTTGCTTTTACTTTTTTGCATAATTTGAAAACTCTTACCCTTTACATCAGTGGTCTCCAACTCTGGTCCTGGAGATCTACCTTCCTGCAGGGCCTAGTTCCAACCACAATTTGCCACACCTGCTCCAGCTAATCAATCTCTTTCCAAGTCCCTGATTGGCTGGATCAGATGCAGTAGAGTTAAGTAATGGGTGGGGCAGCTTACTGGATAGAGGTTGGAACTAAACTCAGCAGGAAGGTAGCTCTCCAGGACCAGGGCTGGAGACCACTGCTTTACATTGTGTTAAGGTGTCATGATGAATGGACCAATAGAAATCTCTTTATGTTAACCTCCGTTATAAGTTGATGATGTTTTTTATTTGTCTTGTAAAGTTACCATTTTGGAAATAAGACATTTTGTTCTGACAGTGACAACACTTGCCAAGATATTTTCTAAACTGTAACTGGAATGTTTTTGTAATGTGTTTATGGTATACCGTTTGGGAGCGAACATGGCGATAATACAGGCCAAAGGGTTGGCAACTGATGCCAGAGCAGCTGACAGATGATAAGCCATATTTCCATAGGGCATGCAGGAGTATGTCTGCACTGATGGCAGCAGACCATTGGTTGCACCATTCACCCACACCACCATTAAGTAGATGAACGCCAGCTCGCAACGAGAGTAGAATGGCTTCACCACCAGTGGTCTAGACTGGTCTTTCAAGTCATCCTCTTGAGTCTTTGTCTTTGGATTTGGATTGCTCACTGCAGGGTTATCCAGACCCCCAGAGACTGAATCTACAGTGCCTGATTTGGGCACCAGACATTCAGTGGAAAGTTCATAGGTTCGGGGAACCCGGTTTAGCATTGCGAAAGCAACAAGGCTCACTACCATCATGACTACCAGAAAGGAGAAGAAGACTTCAGTGGAGAAGTTGGGAGGGAGATACTGAGTCTCCACTGCAAAGCTTTCATCCCCAGGCTGTGAGAGGTTACCCGATGTTTGAGAGACGTTGACACATTTGAACATCCCAGCCCCTTGTCCCAGAGCTACTAGCCCAGGCACAAAGCCACTCAGTCCTTCACCAATGAAGTAGGTGGTGATATATTTGGCAGGGAGCTGCATCATAAAGGGCAGGAAAGTGACGGAGGACGTGCAGTCCACCAGGGCGAGGAAGAACGTGAGGACGAAGAAGGCTGTGCTTCTCGGTGCCCCGAGGAACACAGTGGTGTTCCTCCAAAACACTGTCAGGAGGATGCATGCCACCACACCGATGGTCAGCACAACACAGATCGCCACATTCTCACGCAGTCGGCCTGGGCACAGCTTGTGAGCGATGGTCACCAGGAGGGGGCCGAGATTGGCCAGCTGAATTATGACTGTAAGGTAGGAGGGCAAGTCCCACGCTTCTGGCAGAACGTTTACAATTAGTGGTAACTCCACCCACAGTCCATTAATGGCCACCCAGGATCCCAGGCCGAAAGCACAGGCCAGTAGATGGATATACAAAGACATGGTGGATAACAGAGTCCAGTCCTAGTCAGACAGCAATGAGGTTTCAAGAATATCTGACCAATCCAGCGTAGAAGATCACTGTTTTGCCTCTGTCGTCCTTCCGTCCACCCTAGAGAAAGAACAGGGAAATAAATAATAAGAGCAACTCCTGGAGGATTTCGGCAAGAATAGAAACAATTGAAGAAGGAGAAAAAAGGATCCCTATGGACGCTGCGCAGATGCTTATGCTGCTGTTAATGCAGAGCAAGCTGAAGTAGAAACTGCTAAGCTTAGTGAAAAGAAAGAGATAGATGACTTCTATAATTAGAACAAGAAAGGCAGAGCTGGAGTTACTCTCAGCAGGTGTTATCTGCATGCAAGCTTATCTGTTTTTTGTAAGTTTACTAATGGTGAAACAGCCATAAAAAAGAACGTATGCAATAAAAGAGCCCTAGCAAAAATGTGTCTGGCACTGTTTGAACCTCTGTTGAAACTGTGAATTTGTTTTAGAGTAATAACTATTCTGATTAGTGCCATATTACAGTAAAGGGGTCTGTTGGTTTATTTTGTTCACCAGTTTCTAAAGAAGCTAGAGGACAGAGATGCCATTCTTTTTTAAAAACATTACAGCTGGGCTCATTCTTTGAGAGAACATTACTTGATCTTTGCACATATAAAACAAAGATGAGATAAAATAAAATAGTTTAAGCCATATAATAATCTCTGTTTATACACTACAATAAAAGGTGGAAAGGAGCCATTATATTTACAGTCCAGTGAATTTCATGTTTGTTTCTTTTCACTACTTTGTCTGCTGCCTGTTGGGACACATAATACCTCAATTAATTTTTAATTCATTTAGATGCATTGGATTTGTGCTCTGGGAAGATACAATGTGTCCTTGATGGTGTTATGTGCCAGTACTAAGACTAAGCAGTGCCTCTTGCTCCAAATAGATGATTAATCCTTGTTTAAAACAATTCAGTTCAGCAAATTTTAAGAACTCCAACCAGGGCCATGTCATCTGCTTCTTTGTAATATGTTCAAAACTAGGGGAAAGTTCGCAGGCCTCAGATGCCACATTACTGAAGTTAAAGGTGTCAAAAGTGTGTATTTTCCATGACTAATTAACCAGAGTCACTTTCTGCAGTGATGCAGTAAGAGTTCTAAAGAGCTGGGTACACTGTGTGTCTCAAAGTGAAGCAGTTAGTATGCAAGACAATAAAACATCAGGTGGTATTTTGTCTTAAAATGTGTTAATAACTTCTGTCATTTTGTGTTTGTGTGTATGTGACAGAGAGAGAGAGATCGTTATATAACAAAGTCCACAAAATTGTCAGACTGAGCAACTACAGTTTCCTTGTTTTTAAATACATGGTGGATGATGGGCCTTAAACCTGTACTGCACATTCTACATCCAGTGGCTGTTCATTTTACCTTCAAATTTGCCATTTTATTCAGAACTGACATATTTGATGGATTTGTACATTTAATTCTTTTTTGTGATTTTAACAATTTTGACCCTGTTCGTATGTAAGGGTAAATAGTAACTATTCCGTTAAATATAATTTCGATTATTCTTTAACTATTTTCAAATGTTACTACTTTTACTTGTATTGTTATTTGTATGTTTGTGAGGAAAATAATCTTACTCAATTTCAGTTTCTCACATTTAGTTTATACCTCTTTTTTGGGGGACTAATAAAATTGTGTTCTGTTGGCTTTGCACCTGAATTCCTTTGCTCATGATCATGCCTCCCACTTTAGATCTTTAGGTCTTTTTTATACATTTACAGTTACGTTTATGTGCTTGGCAGGTGCTTAATCATGTTGCAGAGGTAAGAAAATGTAGTGTTAGGAGTCTAGCCCAAGGACTCTTATGATATATACAACCCCATTTCCAAAAACCTTGTAAATAAAAACAAAATGCATTGATGTGCAAATCATTTAAACCTTATATTTCATTGAAAATAAGACTAAAACAACAAATCAAATGTTGAAACTGAGAAATTTTATTGTTTTTTGAAAAATATATGCCCATTTTGAATTTGATGCCAACAACACAGTCCAAAAAAGTTGGGACGGGGGCAAATGTTATGAGTGGGTGACAGGTCTGGACTGCAGCCAGGCCAGTTTAGCACCCAGACCCTTTTACTACAGAGCAATGCTGCTGTAATACATGCAGAATGTGGTTTTATATTGTCTTGCTGAAATAAGCAAGGCCTTCTCTGTGAAAGACATCATCAGGATGGCAGCATATATTGCCAAAACATGTATATATCATTCAACATTAATGGTGCCTTTACAGATGTGCACATCACCCATGCTATGCGCACTAATGCACCCCATACCATCAAGGACACTGACTTTTGAACTCTGCACTGATTACAAGCTGAGGGGTCTTTAGACCGGAGGACAAAGTGTCGAATGATTTCCAAAAATAATTTCAAATGTTGATTCATTAGACCACAGGACACTTTTTCACTTCATCTCAGTCCATTTTAAATGCGCTCAGGCCCAGAGAAGGTGGCAGCGTTTCTGGATCCTGTTTATATATGGTTTCTTCTTTGCGTTTTAGAGTTTTAACTTGCATTTGTGGATGCAGTGACGTACTGTTTTCACAGACAGTGGTTCTCAGAAGTGTTTCTGAGCCAATGCAGTGATTACCACTACAGAACCATGTCTGTTTTTAATGCAGTGCTGCCTGAGGACCCAAAGATCACAGCCAGCAAATACTCTTTTTTGGCCTTGTCCCTTGCATACAGAGATTTCTCCAGATTCTCTGAATCTTTTAATGATATTATGTAGCATTGATGATGAAAAGCAAAAGTTCTTTGCTATTTTACGTTGAGAAACGTTATTCTTGAATTGTTGCACTATTTGATCGTGCAGTCTTTCACAGAGTGGTGAAGCCCTCCTCATCTTTACTTCTGAAAGACTCAGCCTCAGAAACAAAACTGAACAGTGTCACTGGTGAGATTTGGTTAAGAAAGATAGTTTCCTTCTCAGTGATGTCAGCAAGAATCATTTTCAGTTAGACCAAAGGCCTTGAAGGCTCCTGAATGGTCACCTTTCACCCAATTATATGATGATGGAAGTACCAAGTCCTGCACCTTCAGCCATCACCATCAGCCTCTCTGGGATGCTTTTTTTATACCCAATCATCTTACTGACCTGTTGCCAATTAACCACCAGGTGGTTTTTTAGCATTACACAACTTTACCAGCCTTTTGTTGTTTCTGTCCCAACTTTTTTGGAACAAATTAAAAAATATTTTTTTCATACATTCATACATACATACATTTTTCAAAAACAACAATACAATTTTTTTCAGTTTCAACATTTGATTCGTTGTCTTTGTATTATTTTCAGTGAAATATAGGGTTTAAATGATTTGCACACCATTGGATTTTGGAACTTTTTTGGAAATGGGGTTTTATAATATACAATCTGTAGCATCCCACCACTGGCCGCACCGCTGTAGGAGTGCCGGATGCACGCCCACGTAAAGCAGCCACACATCGAGGCTTAACTACAAGAAAGTGACCTGTGCCTGCCATTCAGTAGCGCTGATCAGTGCTTTTCCTCTATAAAGTATTGCATATTTTTATACAGCAGGAGTGCATGTATAAGATAAAATTATATTTGGAAACTCATATTGGCTACGTTGGTATATGTTCACAGGAGATAGGCACCCTGTGGTCTCCTTCAGCAAGGTACTGGCCAGATAAGCCAAAAGCTTAAAAATTCCTTCAGGTACACATTAAATGAGTCACCAATTGATTTTTTTGGTCTTGGTCAGCTTGACTAGCCTGCCTCATGTCATTTGTTAAACCTAGTACAAATGTGACAGACAACAACCAGACAGTAAAAAACAATAGCACTGGTTTAAACATTGAAATCAGGTAAATTCTGTATTACCTACAGAAATGACCCTGGAAGTCTTTTGATTTTAATTTCTTTAAATATATGCTCAACAAGGTGATCAGCTTAGCTTCTAGTGCATTTTAGAAATATATCCAGAATCTGAATGTGAATCTTATAAGAGTAAAAGATCATACTCATATTCATTATAGTAAATTATGTGCTGATTGCATTTGGTTGTGACTAAACAAATATTAAAAGGAACAAAATAAAAACCACTTCCTTTCCCATGTGTGAGTTGTCTCGAGGCAGAACCCATGGTCATATTCAGGAGCATATCTGGCCTTTGTACACACTGATTTGTGAACCACTCATAACTTTTGTTCAAAGATAACCAAGCATGACATTGCTATTCAGAAGTTCAATAAGGCACAATGAAATTCCCACTACTACTCACGGTTTGAGTCAGTCAAGGGAAACAATCAATTTCACTTCCTCGCTCCACTCATCAGACACGTGTAGCCCAGGAGAGCTGAACAGAACTCAGCACGTCAGTGGCTCTAGCGGTTTCTGTGTGATATCACACAAAAGCTCACCTCTGTTGAACCTTAACTCCAGTAAGAGGGTGGTAACCAAAGGATCATAATGTAGCACCCGCATGACTCAAAATCAGGACTGAGCAGTGTCAAATTAACATCTTGGTGTTCTGCTTTGTTGACCCTGAGTGGTTCCAGTATGTTGGCTAAAATAGCTGATCCAACATTACAATTCAAATACATTATAATACAGACTTTTACGGGCTCGGAAACAAAACTGAACAGTGCCACTGGTGAGATTTGGTCAAGAAAGACAGTGTCCTTCTTAGTGACGTCAGCAAAAATCACTCTCATTCAGACCAAAGGTCCTGAAGGTTCCCAAATGGTCACTTTTCACCCAATGATATGATGATGAAAGTATCAAGTCCTGCACCTTCAGCCATCATCATGTCTAGGAGGACAGCTTGGCAATGGATAAAAAGTTCTTATATCACAGTGTCCTTCTCAAGGAACATGTCACAGGCCTCACAGAGACACAAAAGCCAAAGAGCTGTTATCCCAAGGGATAAGAAATATATTCTTAAGCTAAAATATTATATTTTAAAAATATTCAAATCTGAATATGGGGTATAATCCATATATCTTCACTGTGAATGTCTGACAAATACTGAACGTTCAACATCAGTCTAACTTTATATCAGTATACAGGTCATATCACTTTTTGCAGGTAAGGTATGATCATTGTTGTTACAACATAATTAATCAGATGTGTATGAACACTGTTTACAGAGCTATTGATTTTTTTCCATAGCTATATATATATTTTAAAGGGAAACGATAAAATATGTATTTAAAAACACCAAAATGGTTTGGAGGAAAACAAATGCATGTGCATAGATATAGGCACGGTCTAGAAGTGCATGCATTCCCATTGGAAGTTTGTTCTCTGTTTTCTGGTATTAATACAAAAAGAAAGGTATGTTATGTTACCCAAACCACAGAAGAAAAGCTATGCATCACTCTCTGTGGTCGTACTGTTGTGAATATGTAAGTCTTCAATGGCTAACATATGCCATTCAAGTTATTAGTGGTGAAAGGATGAATATAAAAAATAAATACTGTGGTGACTTCCCTTACATTAGCCTTGTGGCTCTACTGCAAAACCAAAGAAGCAAACTTAAGACACCAAACAGGTCTTGGCCAATTTGCCTAAGGAAAAAATTCCGTAATTTTAGTGAGCTTTTCTTTTAAAGTGCTTAAATTTTGTGTGGTGTGTGGTTTCCAGTAGACAGAGAGCATGCAGGGGTTTGAGTTACAGGAATGTTCCTGTACACAAGACCTAAGTCTGCCTCCTGGTGGACAGTCTACAGCTGTAAAGGAAATTGTTATGATGCACCTGAACTTTGACCATGTTGTTCGGTCATGTTGCTCTGTTGTCCATGGTTGACCAACAAATATACCAATCAAGCAGGGACCATAGTCACCCAGTCATCCACTGGAATTTAACACTAGCACAAGAACATGTGAAGACCAACAAGTAGAAAAAACTTCCCATCAATCTATAAATGCCATAGATCCTGCCATAGATAGATAATCTATATCCTGGTTGAACACAGTTCTTTATCTCAGTTAATAAACCTGGAGTAATAATAGCTCAGTGAACAAAGTACTAGAAATGTACCACTGGTCATGGTGTGATAACATGGTGTGTTTATCCAGGCACTGATGTTTCACGTGAATAAATGATGCTATCAGTGAACTGTTTTAAATTTGATGTAGTATGGAAACACTACCAGTCTTTATATGGAAACTAACCTTCACAAACAGCCCCTTTTCAATTTATTGTTTTTAAGATGTCCAAGCCCCCCACTTTAGCCCAATTTAGCTAACCCTTTCACACAGAAGATATAAGGATTGTTTCAGCCTGTATCAGGCAACCAATCAAAAGAGAGGTAATTTACATAATCAGTCCTAGAGACACAGGGACAAAAATAACTTGTTCAATTGTTTAAATGATAAAAAGAGGTTGGAAAATAGTCATGTAAAAACTAATCGTGACTGTTTTTGATATAAGAATCCCACACAAATGTCATAATTCATCTGGGAAAAAAAATGTAACAAGAAAAATGTACGAAATGGTCCCTTTAAATGTGCCCTACTACACCGTCAAGGTCAAAACAACCCTAAAATGTGTCATGTTGGAGTTGGATTACATCGCAATTAACCTCTCAGAGCCATTTAAAATGAGTGCAGAGGAACCTACAATAAGAAGATGAAAAAGAAAATTAGTTCATTCGAGTGCTTTTTGCAACTGTTTTTGTTGGTACAATACTGTGCAAAAGTCAGAGACCACCCTTCCTTTACAGTGAAAACAGCCATAAAAAGACATAAAAATTAATTTAACAGAAAGTTACACAGAAGTTTCAACAACTGAACATAATAGTGTGTCTACCCTTTGTCTTTATTACAGCTTCAATTGTTTTTGAGAGACCTTTTTCCAACCTTCCAAAGTTGGCTGCATTTTCTGCTCCTCATGATCCAGACAATCCCAAACACATTCAGTGATGTTGAGGTCTGGGTTGTCAGTCCACTGCTCTGAGAATGGCTTCTTTGTTTGATTTGCACTTTTTCATTGTTTTTGTTTCCTTTTCTCTTTAATGGCTTCTTGACAGCTACACATTCTTTCAGACCCATAGTGCTCAGTTGTCTTCCCACAGTGGAAGGAATGGAGAGAAGCTTGTGCATTTTTCAGGTCTAAAGAAAAAAAAATGTGCAGAACAATCAGCCTCCAGGAGCAGCAGGTCTTGCGCAGTTGTGTCTCATTTTCTCCCTGTACCTCATTTTCTTTCTGTATCTCTGTATCTTTTGTATTTTTTACACACCAGCTTTGGAAAATTCTGTTTTATTTTTCATTCATTTTCCTTTGAACTTCCCTTTCCTTATGCAAGTGGATTATTCTATATCTGAGCTCCTCAGAAGGATCTATTGAAAAATGAATACTTTGTACTTATTGGCCATTTTGACTGGAAATTAAATAAATCAGTGGTGGTATCTAACATTCACACAGTACTATACATCAGTACTATTCATTTAAAACTTAAAGACAAAATATTTCATTTTTTATTTTTGGCTTCTCTAAAGAGCTGATTGATTGAATTTCTTTTGTTTACATCCTGTGGACACTCGCAAATGGTGTTACCACTAGCCATAATGATTGGTGACTGATTCTGCTGCTAATTCTGAATGCAAATACCAAGACTTGACTATCAAACATCTATGATGACACTCCAAGGCTTAAAGCTGAACAAGGTCATTCTCCAGCCAGGTAAGACTTTTGATATGGAAATGACAAAACACACAAAACCACAGGGCACACGCAATAAGATTATTTATGTTATTGTACAATCTGAATTTGTAACAAACAATAATAAAAAAAAGATTAGTAGGATGTACAGTATTCAAATGACCTGATCTAAGACAAACCAGAGAAACAATCACTCATCTTCTGTGGTCCACTCAAGTTCAAAAAATGAGCAAATGGAGCCATAATGTGGCTTGAGCTGAGGCATGAGTTCTTTCCAGATGGTGTATGTATTTTAGAGAGAGAGGCAGAAAGAGAGAGAGAGAGAATAAGAATGAGAGAGAGAACAGAGAGGGTATGTGCATTAATGAATTCAAGGACGACAGAGATGACTAGAAGGTGAGCAGAGACAGGAATGAAAGAATGAATACAAATGAGAAGATAAAAAAAAATAGTGAAAGACGGACAGACGGAGGATGTGTGTGCATTTGCAGTACAGTACAGTCTCAGTTGGTGTATATTTGTCCCTCAGGCGGCTGCGGTAGCTTCATATTCTCTTTGCACATCATGAGCCGTCTAAGCTCCTGCAGCACCACTCGGATACTGTAGGAGTTCTGCCACTTTGCCAAGGACGACACCGCCCTCGTGTCCACCTAAACACACATAAAACATACAAGCATTTTACATTCATTCATGCACACTTCACATATTTACATGTTACCCTCAAGGAACAAACCAGTTTATTTACATACGGACCCTACAGACGACCAATCATTTATTTAATTTCCTGTCAAAACAGCTACTAAGGTATTCTCTATTTTTCCAGAAGATTTTTCAAACAGTCTGAAAGGATGTGTAGCTGTCAAGAAGTCATTAATGAGAAAAGGAAACAGACAAAAGGAAGAAAATTTGCAAAACAAACAAAGCTGCTGGTGTTTTCAGAACTGACCACCCCAGAGTCCAAATCTGAATCCGAATCACTGAATGTGTCGCAAATTTTCTTCCTTTGTCTGTTTCCTTTTCTCATGGGATTACTTGGATCATGAGAAGCAGAAAATACAACCAACTTCTAAGACTGACCTTTAAAAGTGTGGAAAAATGTCTCTGCAGATTTCTTTTAAAAATTGCAAGCAAGTCTTTCAATAAATATTGAAGCTGTAATGAAAGCAAAGGGTGGACACACTAGATACCGATAAATTTACTTTTAGCTGTTGAAGCTTCTGCGTAATTTTCTGTTAAATATTTATTTTCTCCTTTTTCTGACACTGAAAAATGAATAACTTAATGGCAGTTTTGACAGAAGTGTCATTGTTGCACAGTACTGCACATATTAAATAAATGAATTGTTGTCATTGATTCTTTGCACAGTCCGGCACATATTCTCTCTCTGAATTATCCCTTTACTGCAAATTTAATCAAACGGCAAGAATGTTTGCTGTTGGTTGTTTACATTGGAGCTACGAGACTAATGTAGCTAACAAGTAATGCAATCTTATCTAAACTGATTAGCATTGTGCAAATATGGACAAAAACATGCTGTACAGCTAAAACAGTCGTAGTAGTCATAAAGCCTTACTTTTTCTGTACTGTACAGAGTCAGAAACCACCTAAGCAAATCTTTCTGAAATATCTGAGGCAGGTATGTGATGATTCAGGATGCTAATTAGTGTACATAGGCATCCTTTATTTGATAGCTACATTACGTGGCCATAAGTATGTGGACACCCCTCCTAATTATTGAGTTCAGGTGTTTCCATCATACCAATTGTCATACTGAAAAGCTCAGTAACTAAGAACATGGCACAGTCATCAGATGCCACCATTGCCACAAGTCAGTGAAATTTGTGCACTGATCTGTTCCGGTCAACTGTAAGTGCGATTACTGTGAAATGGAAGCGTCTAGGAGCAACAACAGCTCAGGCCAGAGTGGTAGACCACCTGCATACAAGCCTATGATCACTAGGTGCAATGCCAAGCGTTGGAATGCTGTAAAGCACCCCACCACTGGACTCTCGAGCAGTGGAAACTGGAGTGATAAATCATGCTTCGCAGTGAAGAGATGTTAATGCTATAACATACAAAGACATTTTTACAGTGGCTGAGACGACCCAACAAACTTAAAATAAAAAAAACAAGCTGCAAAAGCAGAAAATGCTTTCATCAAAATGACTACCATGACACATGACCTTCAGAAGTGCAGCAGAGTAAGTCACACTGCAACGGAAATGTTTATGGAGTAGTAGTACAGCTATGACGCCTCACCTAACAAGCCAGACTTGTCAGCCTCCGCAGTCTTATCAAGCTTATCAAATTTTGTCAGTGATTTTCCATCACAGATATTCCATTTCCTTTCAGAATCTTCCAGAAAGTTTTCTGTTTGTTGCGTTGTGGCTCACTTCCGTTTTGTTGTGACTGTCTTTGTAGCGGTTGTGAAGTAGCATGTGTTTTCAATATTTGCAGCATGTTTGTGAAATGCAGTCCAGGTGTAGTCATGTTGATGAAAGTGTTTTCTGAATTTGCATTACGTTTATGCAACAAGGTTTAATTGTACTGTGCACTGGATTCTGTCAGCCATCATATTTTTTAGACAATTATATGCTTCCAACTTTGTGGCAGCAGTTTGGAGAAGGACTTGTCCTGTTGCAGCATGGCTGTGCCCCTCTGCACAAAGTGAGATCCATAAAGACATGGTTTGCTGAGTTGACGTGGAGGAACTCCAGTGGCCGGCACAGAGCCCTGACCTCAACCCACCTGAACACCTTTAGGATGAACTGGAACATCGACCGAGAGGCAGGCCTTCTCATCCAACATACATGCCAGACTTCACAAATGCTCTTTTTACAAAATGGGCACAAATTCCCACAGACACACTCCAAAATCTTGTGGAAAGCCTTCCCAGAAGCGTGGAGGCTGTTTTAGCTGAAAAATGGGGGAGGGGGGCAACTCCATATTAATGCTCATGGTTTTGAATAAGATGCCTACAAGCTCATATAGGTGTGAGGGTCAGGGGTACACACATCGTGGCCATATAGGGTACATCAGCCTTGTATTTCCAGTGCAAAATTACGCAAGCAAATGTCAGACCATATACTTGCTTATCAACTTTATTTGGAGTAAGGTGAAAATTGTTTACATATTATTTACATGTTTAACAAACTATTGCTTTGAACTGTCTGTCTAGAACTGCTCCAATATGTATGCTAATATTCTGTATGGCAACAATACCAACAACAGATGTTGTTGGTATAAGATGTTATTCTTAAGAAAGACACTAAGAGCTGTAAACTCACCACGCCATTGGAGTTGTGTACTCCATTCAAGTTTATCTTTGTCACGAATCGCACAAATGGAGGCGTTTCTGGATATCTGGGACCACATTCAACTCGCAGGCTGTACATCCTGTTCTCGTAGATGGTCTACCAATTAGAAAAGACAGATCAAGATTTAAATACAACACCAATAAGAGCAAATATACAGTTCGGAGAGTTAAGCTGTAAACACAGTGCTCCTATCAGAGAACCACATATGCTTACGCACTTCTCAATACATTTATTTTTGTTCTTTTTTTAATCCACCGTATTTCATTTTTATTAAAACAAGTTACTGACTTGTGATCTTTTATTGAAAGGCACACAAATACTTTTTACTCAAAAATGTTCACAAAACTATCTTGCCTTTGTGTTCAGACTTATTACAAAAGGTTTGATTTGGCAGATCAGACAGACAAAATAAATGCAGAAATATCAAAAGAAAGTTATAGATGACAGATAAAAAGCTAACATTTCCATTTTAAGCCTTCACAAAGACAAAACAGACATGTGCTTCCTTTGTCTAATCCAAGTCAGTTTGCTGTCGTACAATGACTTGGATTTTAACAGTTCTGGTCATGGCATACAGGAAATATCTGACTGACATAAAGGATGTGACTCATTCCTGAGAAAGCAGATGACACTGAGCATTCCTCTCACAAGCCTGTCTGATGAGTTTAATGTGTCAGAGGTCTGAGAGAACACAAAACACGACTGAAAATGGGCAAGAACTGTGAATTCTTCGTTTAATAAACAGTTCAGTGTTAAGTAGGTGTATGCGTATGGCTGGGTGCTGTTAAGATTTTTCAGTATAAATATCTGTACCAATACCTTGACTTCGATATCAATTCCTAAATTATACTTTTTTGATACCTTCTTTTAAATAACAGAGTAAAAAGAGTGGGTGTGTCTTAAAGCAGACTAATCAAAGGTACTGAACTCCGACTCTCAGTCCTACACGTGAGTGGCTGAAATAAGTCAAGACCTCAACATAATGAAATATCTAAGGATGCTTTCACACCTACCTTGTCTGGTGTGGACTTTTTCTTTAATTCGGTTTGTTTTGACAGATGTGAACACTCCACCCGTACTTGGGTGCACCTTAAACCACATAACGGTGGTCCGCCAAAAACGGCAGGTCTCAATCCGCTTACAAGTGAACCCTGATGTGTGTGTTGCCTGTGGTGGCCTGATGATAACGCCTCTCACAATGATCGAGCAATAGTGCATATAGACATAGAGATACATACATTTTGTATTAGCCCTCATCTGGCCCATCATCATCATCAAAGGTCTATTAGAAATTTTTGGGTGGTGCACCACTCTCAATCTAGCAGCAACACTGACGTGTGTAAAACAATCAATTCTGCTGTACTTAATAAACTTGTACAGTGCCACACACTACCACGTCAACATCACTGCTGTGTTGAGAAATGACAAATAATAAGGTCAAACAGTGGAAATTATGCAAATTACGCATGACAACAAATGGACCACGCGTTCTAATCGTATACCTATATAGAGTACTGTGCAAAAGTCAGAGACCACCCTTTCATTTATTTTAATTCCAATTATTAAGTACAAGTTATTCATTTTTCAGTGTCAGAAAAAAGTAGAAGACATACAGTTAACAGAAAATTTAGTGTTTCCACCCTAAATATATCTACTTCATGGCTGTTTTAATGGCTGTTTTGACTCGGAATAAAATAAATGAAGGGTGGTCTCTGAGTTGTGCACAAAACTACTGGAATATAAAGTGACTTTATAAGGTAGGTGGACCTCATAAAGTGGACATAGAGTGGAAGTGCAAGGTGTTTACAATATAGTGTGTGTGTTACCCGTGGTGGGCCAATGATCATGCCTCTCCAGCGTGTGAGGGTCATGTCTTCGTCATCCTCCAGCCCCCAGCTCACCGTTCCATCACCCACTCCCTTCTGGCCCTCCTCCAACTCCTCCAGCAGACGGAAGTTCCGTGGCACCTTCACGCCTGGGCACACAAAACCACATACAACCACAACACTGTAGGTTACGCCCTTGCTGACAATACATAACATACACAAAATACTCACATGCACAAATCCAGCCAATATTATCAAACAACTTCTGCTCTCTCAAGAGGTCCACCCCAGTTCAGAGATCCACTTCATCAATACACAGATTAACAGTCAACCAGCACCCACAGGTTCACTGGCGCACAGATTCAGACTGAGATTCTAAGATGACTATCTTAGATGAAAATTACAATCCTGGTTAGCAGGGTTCAGGTTTTAGCAGGCAGTGTTTCCTGTTCTTGGCAGTTAAAGGCCATCTAGTTGCAATTCAACTGTTCAAGAAGGCTTAACCTGTGACATTCACCGGTATCATTTCAAAACTGGCCACAGCTTGTGACCATCACATTCAGGATGAGGATGCACCCATCAGTTATCAATCTGATGCACAGAGGCCTGGTCGTGGGCTTAAAATATGACTACAGGCTAATGCAGAATCTCTCCTAACAGTGTAGGTTAGTATGAACTGAGTGACTCCAAGAATTATTAAATCAGCTGATGATTTTGCATTTGCTTCATGCAGATTTTTAAGTCCAGTGCTAAAATGCTTGATGAGTTGGCTCCATTATTGAATGCATACAGGCAAGAAATGCTGAGTAAGACTGTGAAACAGAGTGGCCTGTAAGAAATCGCTGAGTCACACTATATTAACAGAATCACTGAACTAAGTTTAGGATTTTTTCTCTCCCATTACAATGTGAACCCCATTATAAACAAACATCTGGAAGATCTGAGGTTTAATAAAAATCTTGGAAGCTAAATGTTTCAAGTGAGGCTTTTGACTAGCGCTTCTGCAGTAAATACCACTGTTATTTAAAAAGACACTCCAGCCAATATGAAAAATTTAACCATTGCTACATCTGTTGTAAATGTGTATATTTGCATGCTATGTAGTGCCGCAATAGTCTCTAGAGTGAGGATTTTCCATGTTAAAGTTTAGGAAAACAAACTTCTGATGATGTATCTTGAAGGTGGGAGGAACTTGTGCTTTGAGGTGTATGGATGAGGGTGGACTGTTTACATTAGTTTTTCAATGGCTGGCTAACATAGAAGGAAGCCAGATAGCTAATGTTTCTGCTAGGAAGTTGAATATCATGACTGTATTTTTAGCCTATACATCTGGTATGTTAGCAGTCAGGATTTCTGTATGGCATTAGGGAACTCTCAATGGTCGTATGATGTATTTGTGTAATGCATGCTGGGTATTGTAGTGAAAGAAAATGAACAGCCAGAAATACAAAAAGGATGCACAGCCTGAATTCTGTCTAGTCAGTGAGGCTCGGGAATGCAAGGCTGCGCTACAGAATATTGCATAACATGACAAATGACATATTAAATGCTAGTAGTAGGCCGGAATGCCACTTTTACTGAAAACTTCATTCATTTACAACATACAACCTCATGGCATCCAAATAATCTTTTAAAACACGTGCTGCAAATTCAGAAAGGATTTAAAATACACCAGTCGTCTGTCTGGATGTAATACTACCCCCAATAATAACACAGACAGCGTGGTCTTTGTCTTCGATTATTTACACTGCCTGAATGATGCTGCAGCGACGGTATAATGTGCAGCTATAGCGTGTTATTAGTTAACGAAAAATACTTGTTATCACACGAGAGAAAACGGTAAATGAATCACAAAAACATCGAATATATCGTACAGCAGCACAGTCTGAGAGCAGCCGGGTTGGGCTTTATTTTGTCTATCAGCAATGCATAGGTGACAAAGCAGCTGGCAGCTCAATACATCCACCAGTCTGACTGAGCCACGCTTACACAGCCGTTCAAACTACATAACTGCATTGCAGCCACCGAGCTGAGGTAAATTTCTTATTTAATCCTTTCTGGAAATGCCTTTTCATACGATGTCAGTTAAATAATCTCAGACTCAGTATGCCGAGAGCTACTTCAACATGCTGCGGTAGCCGGTAGCACAGCGGTGTGCTGGCCAGCTGAACTGCCCTTAACTTAAGCCTTAAAACTTGGCTGAACTGATAGGCAGCTATAGCCTCCGAGTCCTGATCGGCAACTGTTGAACAAACTCATAAAATGCTTAAAAAGCTAGCTGTAAAACGAGGGAGATGACTTACCTGATCCGGCGGCGACCGCCATCTTGTGAGTAAACAGTGAATTAGCGACGTCCGACTCGTGAATCGTTCTTTTGAACCGGTTCTTTTTAAATCAATCGGTCGAACCGACTTACGAGTCCAACTGAACTTTTTGTAGCGTTACTTAATGTTTACATCCGTGTTTGAGGCCGAAAACGTCGAAAAGATATTTTAAATTCATTTTAAAATGAAACCTCATAAATTTATAGCATAAAAGACTAGCTTGTGACATATTAAGAACACCCTCTCTTTGAATCGCTTCACATTTTGTCTTTGTAGGGTGTAGCTGTTTTGTCTTCCTGTTTCATGCTACGTGTATTCTAGCCCTGCGCTCAGAAAAACGGGTTCAACCCCTTTAGTCAGTAGAAAAGGCGAGTGAAATCAGACCAATTCACTGAAAGCCGTGCCACTGAATATGAGTAGAAAAGAACTGACTTAAATTGTAAATAAATGAATCGCTGAATCGAACGTCCGATTAATTGAAACTTTATGTTCAAAAGAATCGGTTCTAGAAATTGAATCGATCTTCACTACAGAGAATGTGTGTGTGCACGACAAAGGGTTAGTTTACTCAGATTGTGGAGATTTAAAATATATAGATTTAATGCAATTTATTAGATTTTTGTCAAAGTATTGAGCATTGAATGGTCTAAAAACACTATTATAAAATTACGTCATCCTTAATTTATTTGCACCTACCAATCACCAGTCTTACTCCACAGTAAATTTAACCACATCAGACCATGAGAGTTCTGATAGTTTATTAATTTCATTATAAATATAATATATACATGGTAACATTAAAGTCTTCCTAATGGGAGACAACAGAAAGGCATCGAGGCATTGTTTTTGATATTTAAGTAGACCACCACAAAATCCACTCCCACCAAACCCATATGAGAAATGTCAACCCAGAACAAAAGTTAATCTACGTTAACTTGATCTGAGACTTTGAGGTGTGAGGCAACGTCAAATAAGACAGTGCTGAAGACGTACAGAGCCTGCAGTTAACTTCTGCTCTCTGTGATTCAACTTGAGAGACAACACAACGTTCGACAGGCCATGTACAATCAAATGGCCGATTAATGCTGCTGCAACAATTCAGCACAATCGATTCAGAAGCAGACAATTTATGTATGAATAATGTTATCCCAAGGGACTAGATGGAGAAAGACACTATCCCACTGCAGAGTGTTCCATTTAAATAAGCATGAGTCTGAAAGCCTGAGCACCGTCACCTAATCAATCACCCAACACACCTAAAGCCACATTCAGTGATAAAATTAGCCCCTTTAGTACACCATAATAACAATAGTAACATAGTAACAGTGTTCCTCAAACGTGTACACAATGTTATGACACTTCATAAGCAAATTCCTAAAGTCCTTACAGGTTAAAAGTCCCACACGAGAGCTTTACAGTCTACCAGACTGCAGCACAAAAGGTCACAAATCGTTTATGCACCAACACGACTGAAGGAGGGTTCCATCTACTACAGGTAAAGAGAAAAAATGCAAGTGTAATGTTTGATTTGTCCACTGTTTTAAAAAATTGGGAGCTTATGGAGCATAGATTGTGTCCGGACCATCACTGATGATGGCCTAAAGCCTAGGAATGCAGTAGCACTGGTTAAACCATAATTAAAAGTCAGCTTTATTACTGTAATTAACAAGCTGCAAAAATCAGTAAAGCTGTTGATCCTCCTTTCAAGGGAAATTCTACCGATTTGTCAAAATGTCTGCATAATTAAATGGTCAAGATGTATACAAAGTCATTTAAAGTTGTTTGATATGAAATGTGCCATTCTAGAGAAACTTACAGAGCCAGAATTGATAATGATAGGAACCAGACATCTGAAGGGTTTGATGCTTTTAAAAGCTACCTCAAAGAATGCTATGACATTAAATGGTTACCAATGTTGTCTGATGCCTGAGGCATTGTTTTATAATGATTTTACCAATTAATTTTGGCCTCAAATGTATTTTTAAAAGCAGAGAGGTATATGCAAGGTACTGTAAGGCAAAATAGTTACCATTACTAACATTACACATAAAAACTCAAACACATTTAAGTTCACTTGTCAATTTGGATAGCAAATAAAATGGTTACAGTTTTGTTCAAGATGTCACAATCTCTTGTTCCCATCACCACCACTGTAAAGAAATTTGACTTGGCAAGCTTGTCTACAATGAACCATTTCACATTAAGATGCACTGATGTAGCTTACATCTTGAGGATTGAATTATACAGAAATTGTTAAAAATTGGCAGAATTCCCCCTGTAAGCGTGGAGAACAAAATGAGGGATGTCTCAGAGAGGTACGTAATCTAGGAATCTTACACTGGAGCTGAAACAAATGTTTAATTACACTGATTACAAAATGGAGCTCCAGATTACCACAGATTTAGACATATTTTATGTACACTGAGAATATTCCTTTTTTCTTTAAGAAACAAATATATTTCTGTGAGAATCATGGAATTCCACCTCCTTCAGCTCTCCTTGGCTTAAAGAAATATTAGCCTAAATACACTACAGCATGACAAGTAGGTTAAATCATCTCAAATCAGCATCAAATTATGAAAGGCCACACTTTATCAACCTTAATTTACAAACTCACATTCCACTCAAACACTCATTAGGAAACATGACCCAAAAATGTAAAAGGAACAAAAGAGCATATCTCAGGATTCAATGTACACATCATATCATATCACAAATCATTTTTCTTTAAGTGGTAAAGAAATTAAAAAATGTAAAAATAGAAACTGTTGGCAATTGTTCTTACGCCTTGTGTGATTTGACACATTTGGAGTAAAGAATGACCTTTAAAAGTATTGACCTAAGACATGTCCTAATACTTTTCTATGTTGACCTATAACTGAAAAAAAAACTGCAACATTTCCTTATTTCCTTTTACAGTGCTTTAGAAGCTTATGACATAATATTTCACTCCCGCCTTAATCCCTGTTTTGGTCATTTTGGATTGACCGTAGTTGTTTTACGTTTTGGCTTCCCAGGGGTAAAGACAAAAAAAACATTAAGTGAGGAAAAGACTGGATTTCCAAAAGGCTAGACACAACTTGGTAAGGCTACTCCACATAGAACATTCCGTTTAAGTACAGGATTTACAGCTGGCAGGAAGGATAAATGGCACATTTAACAACAAGGTATAAAAAAAGCAATCAGTTCTAGAAATTTAAGTACAAAATCTTTTTCATGTAACATAGTTAGATATCTTTCTATACACAAATCACTTGCTATAGATCTTCCGACCTCTTTCAAGTAATGATCATTGTGAGGATCGTGTTAAGGAGGATTTATCAGCATGGCCACCACTAGCTAATAATATATGTACACAAATCTCTGGAAAAATACTAGATTTATCTGTAGGTTTAAACTTTTCTAATTCAAGCAAAGCAATGTGGTCTCTTCATGGTAAATACTACCCTATCAGAGACATTTGTTTTGTGCACAGGTTATACAACTTACTTCTTATTCTGATAGGCAAACATATTGTGGCTCTTAAAGTTTTAAATAATCTAAACATAATCAGTGGAATAAGATGAGTAACTATTTATCTTGATTGATTTTGATGACATTCAGTAAGACATAGTAATTACAACATAATAACGTGACATGATTAGTATTCTCATGGTCGTTTTATACACATTCAGCAGTTACAAAGCCGTTATTAATGACTTTATAACTGGCTGTCTGGTTTGTTATGACAAATGGTACGCAGCTTTAGAGTTACTGAAAACCTTAAATGCTGTTATAACAGCTTGTGACTAAACATGCTCAAACTGACCTAAACGTCTGTATTCCTCAAAAAGAGTCATTAGTAATGCATCTACACACAGTACTGTGCACCCTGCATTTATTTCATTTCCAGTCAAAATGGCCATTAAGTACAAGTAATTAATTTTTAGGAGATATATCTGAGGAGATATAAGATAATCCACTTCCATACAGGGACAATCAAAGGAAAATAAGTGAAAGTTTCCAAAACTAGAAGACCTGATTGACCAATTAATTGCAACCAACCTTTAAAACTGAATTTCAGAGGTATGGAAAAATCTCCCTATAGATTTCTTTAAAAAACTCCCAAAATAAATGGAAGCTGTATTTAAGGAAAAGGAGTGGATGCACGAAATACTGAAAAATATGACATTAAATTTAGTGTTTTCTACTTTTTCTTTTTACTTTGACCCTGAAAATGAATAATTCCTACTTAATTGTCATTTTGACTGGAAATTAAATAAACCGTTGCACAGTATTGTATATGTCTGGGCACCTAAAAAACTAGTAAAGCTATGAAAAAAAAAAATTAAATTAAAACGTAACTGACCAGCCATGCTTAGCTATGTGTAGCAATTCAAGACAAAAACATCTCTTTATACAACTGAGCCTGCAAAAGTCTTTCCTAAGCATTAACCTAAGCTATGAATTGTTTTTCACTGTCTTTTTAGTTTCGAGTACAGCTAAGACCACTAGTTCCTACCATGATGCACAGATGGCTAAATCAAATTCCAGCCTAGACCACAAGTAACAAGTTTCACTTTGTCTTTTTCATGTTTGGTTGTTTTTACAGCACCTATGAATAGGTAGAACAGCCAGAACGTTAGTGATGGAGAAAGTGGTTGTGCAAAAAAAGCGCTTCCTTAATGATTGATACTTGCTTCGGATGTGGATGTGTGTGTATGTCCTGTGTGTAACCATGAGGCAAAACGTATTGTAACATGTAACAGAAAAGTGTGTGATTAGAAGGCATAGGCCAAAAGGCTTTGTATGGAGTGTATGTGGAGTGTAAAGTGTAGTTTGTGAAGTGTATTGTGTAAATAATGGAGTGCAAAGTGCACAATGTGGAGTGTATGTGTGAGCAAAATGTTTCTTCTGCATGTACTGCATAAGTAAGGCGGACCTAGGAAAAGACTGCATATGCGACTGCTATGTCCGTTCAGACACCAGCGACAGGTGAAGACACTAAGTTCCAGCCCTCTTTCAGAACGAGCCATGATGTCCTTACAAAGAGACCTATAGTGTTTGGGGGAGAAAAAAAGAGGCAGATTGCTCCCCTTTGCTTGAAGTTTGTGTAGACAGGCCCAGTCCCACAGTTTACCAACCGACAGAGCTTGTTAGCAATGAGACCAGCCAGTCTGCAGAGATGTGTGAGCAGTTTTAAAAAAAAACCCAACAAACCCCCCCCCCAAAACAAAGGCATCCATTTGAACTGGAGCTCACTTCTGTTCAAGTATTTCAATTTGGATTTTTCCATTTTTTGCGCTTTGAGAAAGTTATATACATTTTTGTTGCAGGGTCAAGTTTTTCAACAGGGCTTTTTTTTGGACGCTTTATACCCCTAAGGGGGTAAAATGGCTTCATGGTTTCTCTGTGCAGGAAAAGGGTGAAAACGGGTAAATATAAAACAGATTGGAGAGCAAACCGCTGTTGCTGGATAAGAAGTGCGGAGCAGTATTGCTTTCAAACCTTCTGTTAATTTTTCTCTCTTCCTTTCATCTCTCTGTGGGCTTGGAGCTTTTCTGTTGTTTATTGGTGTTCACTCAGTCCCCAGCAAGGGTGGCAAGTTCTTATCTCCTCCACTGCTCAGGGAGACAGATGGGAGCTAAATGAAGAGGAGATGGAGGCTGGTCCCCTGTGCAGAGGTGTGAGGTAGGAGAGGGGTCTGGCACCAGTTAGAGAGAGGTTACTGGGTTTTCTGAGCCCATTTCAGATCATCCGATCTGGGTTTCTCTCCTGTCAGGCCCTGGATGATGTCCTCCAGATTCCTCCAGAAACCAAACTTCTCCAGTGGATAGTTTAACCAGCCTGCACATACACACAAACAACATAATTTAAGGGACAACCCAACAGTGTGGTTTACATCATAAGGCTGAATTTTTTTAAATTCTGATTCTTTTTGTTCATGACAAGTCAGTCATGGACAATTCCACCCATTCACTAGGTCACCCATCACTGTGTGTGTGGTACTAACCGATGCTACCGAGCTGGAAGGGTGAAAGCACATGAAATGTCACAGAATCTTTCCAAAGTGCCACTAATGCATAGTAATTGGACAGCTCAACACACTTGGAGCAGAATGCCAACTGCCACTTCTGTTACACCAGCTAACAGACATCCGAATTGGCTTGTTTAAAAATGAATCGTTTTTCATTGAAACTGCAATTTGAAGTAGTGCAATTTTTAATTTTAGCTTCTATTAGCTTAGCTTACATAATTATTGTCTTTTTAACCCAATAACGCAGAGCTTGTGAACAGTGTCTGTGTCTGTAGATAAATTGACCTATCAGAAGCAACCAAACACACAAGTACTGTTTACAAGACCACACAACAACAACAAACTGACAGTGTGACACACTATGTTCAACGTTCAGGCCACAAGCAAGAAAAAGCGGATTTACTGGTCTTCTTGGCCAAAATAACAGGCCTAGACCTTCATTTATAGAAAATAATTGCCTTTAAATTGCACTTACAACAAAAAATAACTCAATTAGATATTTTCCTCAAATTATTCAGCTCTACTTGCAAACAGTGAGTGAAGGTGCAAGGAGGAGGGCCATCCTACCCACTCAGAGAGAGCAAGGCCAACTATGCTGTCTTGGACAGCATCACCAGGGACCAAACTCACATTCGATGATAAGGCCAATGCTTAGATGGCTGCAAAACTCAGAAATCATTTTTTTTCATTCAAATTTGATCCTTTAACCATTATATTTCACATTCGTGTCTAAGATGCTGTTTACACTTTGCATGTTTTTTGTGACTGCAATTGACCACATGAAAAGCCAGGTGTAAACACACTCAGGAATTTCGGAGGTGGTCAGAGACGGATCTTGACCACATTAAACTTAAGTTTAATTACATAACCTCTCTTATGTAACTTAGAAACCATGTTTTCAGTAGTTTACCGGAAGTAAAACTGAAATAACGTATGTACTGATGTAAGCACAGTAAAGTAAATTCAGATCTCATCTGGTCACACCATGTACGCATTTCAGTGAAGTGTTATGCTCTGCTGTTTGGGTGTTTGACTGGGATGTAAAAAGTGTAATGGAATCCAAACAAAGTACATACAGACATGACCTAGGCATAAAACACATGTTAATGCAAGGTGCAAGCAAGCTATAAGTGAACTGAATTTTTAAATCTGTCTAAAAATGTCCACATGGGAAGATGCAGCACAACAGTGATATCTGCATGCAGTGAAGAGTGATGTTTAACAAAAAATACAAACAAACATGAATTTCTGTCATGCAATCTAGGATGACATATAAAAGTGGTTCAAATCTGATTTGAAAAGGTCTGTTTCACATTTACAGATCTATGCCACTTCAACCCTGTGATGTAAACACAGTCTAAAGCTACATCGTTTGCAAGGCAGAATGAAACTGTGAGGATGCATAGGTGTGCAAGTGTTATGTACCTGTGGTAATGCAGAAGTAGGTCTCATGAGGTGATACGTGGTGAACTCGGTGGTGTTTGCGAGGGAGGATGATGTGGCAGTCCTGGAGTAACGTGACCCAGCGTGGCAGGCCAAAATAAGTATGAGACCACTTATGGATCTGATTAGTCAACGTCACAAAGATGGCCAGCGCATACACATAGCAGTACCAGGGGTAGATATGATAAATCTCCACTGGAAAGAGTGAGAGATAGATGAAAACATTAGGAGTTAATTCAAGTAAGTCTCTGATTAAAATGTCACAAGTTAAGAAATATGTTCTTTTCAACAAACACTTAAAAGTTATAGTTTTAGCCAGTTAAAAAAAGGATGTTGTAATTTCATTGGAATCACTTCTCACTGTTCTACTGAAAGTGTGGATTCTAATCTTTCCATCTAAAGCAAATGTTTTAATTAGATACAGAATATATTTAGGATAAACCTACTGTTGTGCATACCAAACCAAACTGAAAAAGTCAAAAGTGCACACTTAAACCTGTTGATGCATAATGTCAACTGAATAAATGTAATTATGTAATTAATGATGTAATTACACTTAAATAGTATAGCAATATGACAGTGAATGACAAGGCTTGGAACAGGTGTCTCACGGTTGCTCTGCTGTCTTACCTGGTGTTAGCGTGTGAAAGTTGAAGGCCATGTTGGCCAGAGGGACGATAGTCAGCATACAGTTATCACCATTTGTCTCAATGAAATCGTGCCGCGTGATAGCTGTGGGATCAATGTGGTGTTCCCTAAATGGCCGGATAAATGCCTTGGGGAGGAGAGGAAAGGCAGTGTCAGCACACAGAGACCTGCAAACCTGCTCCCCAAAGCCCACACAGCATCTCACTAACACAAACACTAGACCGTCTCTCTCCACTCCTCCAGCCAAAGGCTCAGCACTAAGATTAACTGTATGAACTGAGAATTTAGCAGTTGTTGTTTTATTTTTTAAAAGCTTAGTTTACAGCTGTCATTACATTTCCCATGTGCGATCCTAGCAATGTAGAGGTGAGTTGATAATGTGGGGGGAGAAAAGTAAAGTCATGTCAGTGCAAACCATACCTTTCCAAAGATGGGCAGATCCACAGATCCCCATGTGTCAGCCCCCCAGTGGACCAGTCCAGATGCAAAGTCTGCAGTTAAGATTCCGCCCACTGTGTGCACACAATGCATAAATACTGAAATTAATACAGATACACATGAATGCAATAAATAAATAAATAAATAAATAAATAAATACATGAAAATAACATCCAATCACAAGGATCTTTTTGATAAAAGCACCTGATCCTCAATCTTTTATATAAGAGCATCCCTTTAAGAGAGGTTGATCTAATGTCCATTTATGACAGACTGCTGTTTTGTCTATATTTAAAATGGCTATAAATAGGATAAGTTTAATCAGATTCTTTTTATATACACATAATTTTAACACTGTTGTGAATTTAGTCCAGCTGTACAAACGCACAGCAGTAAAACATTTACACATCATATAAATAGAACTACTGCATATTTCATCAATGCAAAATTATGTCAAAAATGCACAACCTTAACTCCCACCAAACAAATCTCTCATACTATGAAGACAGCTGAGGCTCTGACTGAAAACTCTAAATATAAACCCAACTCGAGTTTCAGTCTGCTTGCTTATATGCACACACACATTTGCTGAGTCATAGCTGGTCATCAATACAGAACAGACTAGCTGTTTGTTTGTCCATTGTGTGTGTGTGTGTGTGTGTGGTACTAACCGATTCCCAGGAGGATGTACCAGACATGGCCCAGGTGGAAGTAGGCGAGGAGGTAAAAGAAATTAAAGGCCATGAGCGTAAAACAGAGAACAACACTGATCCATTCCTGACACCTCTTACCTAATAGGAGGAGAGAGAGAAAGAGAGAAGAAAGTAAAACAGTTATCTCTGTATCACAAAGTCAGCAAAATTGATCCATTCTCCCGCAACAATCGTGTTGTTTTGAATCAGCTGTTGCTAGGGTTGGACAGGCTTTACAGAGTGCTAGCAAAAATTTCACTCAGCCTGAAGAGAAATTGTAGCACACAACTCAGTTTTTTTGCCAAAATACCTACGTTTGTGCAAAAAAAATCACTGTTAGGACAGATCAGGTATATATTTTTTTTTGTCATATAATCAAACTAACTTTGGCATGGCCACAAACTTGCCACTGCCATTGTACAACATTGTCTGGTTCAGTAGCGTAGCATTGCATTTTATACTGGAAACTAGTGATGGCACAATCATTTTATTTCCTGGTACCAAGATTAGTGGTATAATGGTTCGGTGCCAAATTATCCCCAACATTTTACTGTGTTTAAGCAATAACAAAGGCAATAGGTTGCGTATAGCTGCAAGCAGCAATCTGGTGGGTTCAAGAACACATCAGCACTATGAGCCCTTAAGCAGTTTGATCCAACAATGCCTAACAAGCCCTAATGCAATCTGGGCCTTATTTACAGAGAGTTGAAAAATGCACGGAAGTCAGAATTTATCAAAAGGCCTTAAAATGCCATAATTGTTGAGATGTGGTCTTTAAATATGATGCATGCTTAATTTCATATGTACTGATGTACTGAGCTTTGCAGAACATAGCAAAGACTGTCAACACAGATGTCAAAAATACATGACTAATGTTCAAATTTCTGACATACTTGTTTTTGCAAAGTGGTTTCATTCCCAAAGTTTAATTTTTTGATATGCATGCCATAATGAGGCCAGTGCTCCCATAAGGGGCCTTCTTGGCATAAAGGAGCTAATTGAAAGGGAGTCAGAATTTGTCAAAAGGTCTCCATATGTTATGATTACTGATCAGGAGCCTGCAACAAAGAGGTTCATTGAGTTTTGTTCAGATTGTCCTTTTGACCTTTGTATAATAGGCTGCAGTCTTTGTATGAATTAGTCAAAATACCAGACAAGGAGTCCAATTTCTGAAATAACATGCAATTACAAAGTTATTCAGGGCACAGAACTGAATCAAATGACACTAACTGTTTATCTGTAGACTGCAAAATAAAACATTGTAATAACATTCTATTGAGTTTTAAGGCCCTTAAGGAAAATTTGGACCAAAATTTAAACACTTCATTAGAGTCTGTATACTTGTGTTTCAAATTTTGAAATGATCAGACCAACTCCTGATGAGTTATTGCAATTTAAGTTAGAAATGCCACAGCCACAATAATTAATTGATAAAGAAAGATTATGACGAGTAAAAAAAGGCAAAAAAGTTTCAGTAATTATTTACCTAGGCCATGGAGTATTTCAAGACCAATTTTAAACAGCTGGGATCAAAACCCAGTAACTAGTTCGAAAAGTATAATTTTTAAAGGGTTATCAATAGCAAAACATTTGTAGCCAAATTATTTGAAACTTCACTGGTTGTTAGAAAATGCCTACAAAGACTCACCACTCAAGTTTCATGATGATTGGTTAATGTTAAATCTGTCAAATGCCTGCTGAAAGCTAACTGGCTGATGGTGGCCATAAATCTGACTGCATCAAGTTGTCCTTGAATATTCACTTAGTTAGTTAGTCTGTCTCAGAGATGTGCCTGCAAAATTCCAGCTTGATAGGGTGTACGGCTGCTAAGAAACAGCATTCTCGAGTTATACAATTTTAAAGTAATTATGAATTATTCCAGTTAATTAGAATATGGCAGTCATATTGCTTACAAAAGTCAACATGTTTATCATAATTATTGAGGTTCAGGATCTTGAGATTATTTTATAGCAGTTACATGAGGATTGACCTAGGACTAGTTTGCAAAAGTAGCTTTTGCATATTATGCAAAAGGCGGAGCTAAATTGTCCAAATTGCTAATTAGTTTGTCTTGAGCCAAGGAATCGGGGAATAAATATTCTGTCTCTAAAAATTTTGCTATAGAAGTTATGAGGCAAAATACATTTGGCGTTACTTCACTTGATGTTTGATACCTCTACCTCTTGATATTTACATTTTTATTCCAGTTGATGTTTTGTTCTACTTGCTGATGTTTCCATTTATTTGACCTGTTTTTGTTTTTACAATGTCTTGCAATAATTTTGTAAAAGAGGAACTTTTATTTAGTAACTCTGAACAAAAGACTGCTACATTTCCTTATTAGTTCAAATAGGATTTTAGACAATGTTCTATAAAGGTCATCCAACCTAGAGATAGTTGCTGCAAAATTAAGTGCTTGTGTTTAGAGCACTATGTCTATTTTCCTATTGCAAAATATATCATGAATAGTGGAGGGAGACAGAGACAGAGAGAGAGAGAGGGAGACTTACTCACACCCAAAAGCCAGCTTAAATGTCCTTCCTTTGTGTTTGCATCAGCATATTTCGCTAACAAGTTTACATACAAACACGTGCCTCATATTCATGTAAGCATAGCTCTTCATGAGTGTGAGGAAAGGGCGTGTGCTATGCGTGTGTGTGTGTGTGTCTGATGGGCCAATAACTTGCCCTCAGACTCTATAATTAAATTTCTGTGGCATTTCTTTCCTTTTCCCCACTCAGATCACTAAATAAGAGGGTTATTTGCATCTACTGTAGATGTACAAAGAGCCATTCACAACCAAACAGCGAAAACACTCTGAGGTCACTGTGTGTGTGTCCCACTGGTGCTCTCAAGCCAACTGAGAGTATATTAATCAATACATTAATCAAATGTCATACATCAACCATGTCTTTGTTGATTGACTGCATCTGGGGTAACTGATAAAATGTGTTAATTCGATTTTTTTACTAATACATAATGTTTAACCAATGCTTTTGGTTGAAAAGGCTAATATAATTTCTGATAAGTAATTTTACATTCAATTTGAGCATCGTTTATGAATTGTATGCATGAGAGCACAAAAGTGAAGCTTGTACCGGGTTTTTTGGAGTCGACTCTCGACTCCTACCGCTGGAGTCAATGGAGCTGACTTCTCGACTCCACTTAATTTTAATCAATAGCGCCAGAGCTGTTGATAAAGGGATACAGCAGATAATAAACCATCCTAAATGTAGTTTACTGCATTATCACAACTAGGATATTCAGTCACATGACACTGTGCTACGTTAGGCTACAAAAGCCTCTCTTTTTAAAGGTCATGTTAAGCGTAGCCTCAAACTATAACCTACAAATGTGTTTATTAGCTGTTAGCCTATGCCGTTTACTTGTTAGTCCCATGACAAAAAAGCTTAACATGTGTACGCTACCGTCTTTATGTTTATTGTTTTTTAAACTAAAGCTAGTGCCAGTTAAGCCCCATATGTTTGTTAACTGGGGCTACCAATATGTGGTAAATGTAAGCAGATCACGTTACTAACATATCTATTATGTCAGGCTTTCCTTTTTTGTCATTCATTATAAAATGCAGAGCTATATATGACGTCTTTATGCATCACGTTTGTGATTATAGGTTTATTGGTTGATGCTTAATCACAGATATAATTGTCAGTTATCAGTCAAAGGAATTTGCCATAATTCATGCTCCTATTCAAAGGAAAAGAATGAAAAACAAAGCTTTTGCCCTTGCATTCCAGGGTTGGAAACACATTGCTTCTCACTACCTCCAGGCATACACCTTTGCATGACAACTCACATCTTCTGCATCAGGACGCCTGGCAACCGAACATACAACAAAACAGGCTTATGAAAGATTATGCTGCTTAAGTGGTGGTTTGATGTTTCACCTTCAGACAGTGCTGTTGAACAGCCAAGATATGTTTGCTTCGTCAGGTTTGCACTGTAGCTATGAAGCTAATATGGCTAAGGTGTGGAAGCTTATAACCACATCAAAGAGCACTTTGTAAACTGCATCATCACACACTTGCCCCAAACTGTGTTGAGCTGTTAGGTAATCCCAAACAGACTAAAAAAATTGGAAATTCACACGTCAACATAGCTAATGGTTTCAGGTTTGTGACATGCTTCATTCCACTTTTATAGATAAAAGTATGACATACAGTGTCAGAAACCATTTGAGATTACTTAACAAACTGAGGCAAGTGTAAGGATATATGCATGCTGTTTGAACAATGCTAAATGGTGGTGTTTATGCTTGTATTTGCTAGTGAGCTGTCTTAGCCTTTTAACTCCAGTGCAAAACTAAAGAAGCAAACTTTGGTCACCAAAGATATATTGGCTAACTCGCTACTTTTGAGATTAGAGAGGCACCGGAATAAGGCCATTTAAATTTTTTGACTGAAAATGGTCAAAAATGGCACTTCCAGTTTTCAGTGCATTCCTAATCCCAAGTATAGCCAGTCAGACAAGATATAAGAGCTCATGAACAGCTTAAAAGACCTTGCCTTTGAATGTTAATGAAAATGAGAAACTACTGGCACTTAAACACAGTATCGATATCGCTAATGGGGATGCCGATACCTATGACTGACACCACGAAGGAATTTATGACGCATGCACACGCGCCAGAAGACAGAACTTCACAACACGGCGTAATGATAGCCTTAGCTCAATTTAGCCTTTAGCATAGCTGCCTGCTAGCCGGGCCTCTTCGTGAACCTCTGCCGGTCAGATGTATGACTCACGTCTTGCCGTTTCAACCAAGCTAGAAAAGCGCTTAAAATCACTGATACTGACAGCGTGAATGACAGTGATATTTACTGAACTGACACTCAGAGATGCAGCACGAGTGAACAAGACACACATGTGAGACAAATGACTTGAAAAATCTGGATGTGAAACAACATTAAGCTCTGTTTTTCAGTCAGAGAAGCTGCTGTGTGCTGATGTGTAAACACCACAGGTTAATCTGTGTACGGTTTAGTTCTGTTTTTAACTGTTTTGCACAGTAAAGAAATTTTACATTTTACAAGTTGTTAGAAGCAGAAAGTCGGCGCGAGCATGCCAACGCCATCTGTAGACTTAGTTTCTGATATGATGAGAGAAATTCACAAACGACAGAGCCAATGCACAAACTGTAACTAAAAATGAAATTCAATACCTTAAGTGACAAACCATTCTCTGTTGTCATGGTCAATGGATTTTGTGGTACATACAGTGGCCAACATACTGTAATACTTTTAGAAAGTTTATTTTATGTAAACAGTTTTATTTACTGACATTTTTTTCAGTTTCAGCCAAGTGTGAATATCTCAGCCTGTTGTGCTGTATAAGGGCTGAAGTTAAATTTTGCAGATTTTTTCCCCTGATAACACTGGTCTAATGTTTCAAGGATGTGTTCCACTTGGAAGAGAGCATATGCTGCATTACTATGTATGAGGAAGAATGAGTAATGTGTATCTGCCAAAAAAAAAAACAAAGATTTTCCACAAATAAAGATGGCACGATATCACTTTTTCCGTTTCGATAATGATACCGATATAGAAACCTTCAGTAAAGGCTGATTTTATTTATTTCTTTATTTACTTACTCACTCACTCACTCACTCACTTAAAACTACTAAATTTCCACAGCTGTGACATTACATTCTCTGCACACAAAAGAATGTAATGTAAATGTAGTTACATCTGATAACTAGTTGGGCCTGTCACATTATTGCCTGATCGCAATTGTTTGAGCTGATAACAATTATTTTACCTGATTGCAGTCATTTTCCACAGCTGTTAGCCTTCACAGTTGTATGTTTTTACATTGCAGCAAACAAAACATAAATTAGGTTCATGCTCATCATTTGTGATACAAATGCATGTAAATAAAAGAGAGTAGAAAATGTATTTCTTGAGATGCATTGTGGGTCTTACAAAAACCAAAAAAGTTCTATCTTCTGACTAATAGTAGACCACCTTCAGGAGGCAGCTGTGAGTACTGTTTGTTTATTTGTGTTTGTCTTCATTTGGGAGCTACTAAGTATCAACAGCTGTCTGAAACAGAAGTTCTTAGGACTGAAGTGCTTTTGAGTACTAAACAATGCATTGTAACCAGTAATTCATAAAGACGTACACAGTGGCAGGCTAGCACAGAGAAGCTTGGCCTACTTCATGGGACTACAGCTAAGCTCCACACTTCATACCTCAGCTACGTAGTCACAGTGCTTGCTTTGTCTTGTCCAGTAATTTACATATAATATTAATATTATTATTATTTCATTTATACACTGTTTACTCTCAGTAGTAATCTTAGTCCACCATACAACCTCAGTGCTGTACTCTTATACTGCAACTGAGCGCCAGTTACTCCTCTACAAATGGATTACTCTTTTTCGTTTGTCATATGTTTAGGACAAAGACGTCTATTCATTAGATGCCACACTGCACAGATGCCAAAGTTTAAACTGAACCACTTTCTTCATCATCACTGACACTACTGCATAGGACAGGAACTTAAGTCACCTGGTGCAAGATGTGTGCTGCAATACCACAGAACGTAGCTTGTTCAGCATTGATTTGATCAATGTGGCTTTGCATCAGTTAAAAAGAAGGAAGGGCCAGCATGAAAAACAATGCTAATGAAGTGCTTGTAAAACAAGTTTGTAGTTCCCCATCAACAGACTTCATGTAAAAGTACCTGATACTGGCAGCGACCAGTGATTCTTGAAGAAGACCAGTGAGCACAGGACTGTTAAATATATGAACTACAAGCATTCGTATGTTATTGGTTGGTTATTCACTGTACTATACATTACACACATACACCTGGTCACTGAACACCTGCATGGTAAAGTATGGTCCATACTGGTCAATCTGCTCGAATCTATTCTACAAAACTACCAAAAGTTACAGAACCAAAATAGTACACAACAGTGTTGACAGCAAATTAGGTGCAGATGTTCAAAGCGTTTAATGCCTCTAAAACACACCTGTCAAAGTTATTACATTAAAAGTAGTTACAAATACATTGCCTGATGTCTAATGTGTTGTTTTATGGGAAATTTGAGATCAGGTGTTGGCCTAAAACTTTTTTCTTAAAAACATACTTTCATGGTGTAGAGGTTTAGCAGGCTGGTGTACGGAAAAATCGAACCCAAATAATACACATAATAATAATAATAATAATAATAATAATAATAAAGTATTCTTAAAAATAATTAAAATAATGACAATAATAAAGTAATAGTAATGTAATAATAATAAATATAATAATTAAATTGTAAAGTAATCTGAATTGGTAAGTTTCTCTACAATGAACAATTTCACATCAAACCACTCTGCATGACTTCTCCAGGTCGAAGTTATGCAAAAAAATTTGAAAAATCGGTTGTATTGGCCTTTAAACGCCTTCTGGAGCTCCACATCCTCACACGTACCAATATCGACATGTCCTGTTTGTGGTTAAACTCTGGTTAAAAGTAGGTCATTTCATCATTTGTACTGTGCTCCCTACATCTTACTGGCATTAGTCTATACGGAAGCTTAATTAATGTCAGCGGACAGTATTTTCGTGGTTCCCTTTTCATTTCTAACATATTCCAACTCGCCTGTCATTAAAACCTGTCCAGGTCAGTAGACTGGGCTGAAAAAAAAACTGAACTCATAGAAACAGGCTGCACAGATCCTTATGACTTATACCTGCGCATCATCTCATACCAGTCTTAGCAAAAACAACAGATTTTCCAAAAAAGCACAAAGCTGCTTTAGAAGCTGTGTTACGAAAGACATTTTCCACCAAAGATACTGAGTGATGTGGACACTGGAAACATACTCGACCCGCCCAGAATGATCATACGCGGGTGACATTTACTGTGGTTATGGCTGCACGCCCGCATTACTCAATTCTGGCTCAAACATGAACATAATTGAATATCACTATCTCCAGCATTCATTCACAAAGCCACATTTCACTCTGCTATCCCAGTTAATCGTTGTCTGTGTCGTGCTGTGCTCTAACTACAGACTAAAATAATGTGAACTCACTACAAACACACTGTGGTTTCAGCGGCACCATATGCGGTCTCCATTCTCTCACCGCCCGTTGTGTTTATTACAAAGTGAACGCTCAAAGTTTTGCTGTGCCATTTTTTGTCTCCGGCCGAAACTCGTGACCCATAATGCTAGCGAGCTAGCTCATTTTGAGCGGCTCCAACCCCGCTAGCAGCAGCAGCAGCAGCAGCAGGATGACAACCGGCTAGCAGGCAGGCTAAGCGGCGCCAGGCGGAGCCCGAATTCCACAGACACGCGCTCTCACCTGGGGAATATAACTTGGCGAGCTCTTGCGCCCCGGCGTGCTGGGGGCCCCACCTAGCCGAAGAGCGGACCGCGCCGTTCGGCTCGGTTTTCTGAAAGTCCTCCCCGGCTCCGTTTTCGTTCGGGATGCTCGCCATGTTCACTCCGGGTTCAGCCCTCTCCTCTCTCCGCTCACACACACACAGCCAGCCACACACGGCCACGCCTTCAACCACAGACCACGCCTCTTTGCAATCACGTTTACTGTTTAGCCAATCACCAACGAGACAAAACTTTCATGACAGGTCAGTGAGCCAATGAGATCGCAGAGAGAGCCCACGCACTTCCTGACCCCACCCGTCTGCGACCAATCAGAAAACAGCTTTAGGTGACTATGATTTATCCTGCGATAAGGGTGTAGCCCACTACACTCCAGCGCCTTTTCAAAATATAAAACCAGTTCTACTTAGAAAGAACCTGGAGAAGACATGAAGGTGCTACAGGTGGAGTGATGTGGAGCTACAAGGGTAATATAACAGATGTCACCCAGTGTCATAGACGTCCATTACATTTTTAGCTAACGTTACACTCTTAAAAACATGTTTATTCGGTAAAGGCAGTGGTTCTGTTTAGAACCACGAGTTCTATTCAAAACCATTTCATGCTTAAATGTTTCTCTGCATGGTGAAATTTGTCTTCAGATTGATGGAGAATGTGTTGTGTATGGTTCTACACAGAACCTTTCCGGAAATGGTCCAATATAGTATCAAAGAGGGTTCTCCTGCCGTTACCAGCTTGACATCTTAACAATAGAGGAACCCTTTTTGGTGTTATACAGGACCGTTTTCAAAAAAGGTTCTATATAGAACCATATACAACACATTCTCCATCAATCTGAAGAATCATTTCACCAAGCAAAGAATTATTCAAACGTGAAATGATTCAATATATAGAACTCATGGCTCTGAATAGCACTATTCCCTTTACTAAAGAACCCTTGAAGAACCATCTTTTTAAGTGTGTACGCCTCGTTGCTTTAGTGCAAAACTAAAGAAGGAAATTTTGGACACCAAACGTCTTAACAAGGCTTGATCGACTACATATGTGATAAGGAGAAATTATGCAAAAGTGATTTTTTTTTTTAAATCTCACAAATAATCAGTAGCCATTCATTTTAGGTGCAACAGTATGACTTATATGTATCATTTATGGTAAGCCATCTTGCCATTTTAAAAAATGTTTCCTGTCATAATCTTTAGTGTCATGTATAAAAGGCATCACTAATAATAAACGCATTGACAGATTGAAATCATTTGCAAATGATTTGTAACTTCTATGACAGATGACAGCCATAAAGGGTTTTACAAATAAGAGACATGGTGTGGAGGCCCAACTTCTGCTGCATAGACTAAAAGCCTCCACTAGATGGCAGTACAGTAACTGTCTTTTAGAGGACATTCAAACTCAGTTGACTGGAGTTGACAGCCGCTGCAGTGCTCTGAGACCTATAGTAAACACTGACTGCTTATATATATTCACTACGCAGTCTCATTAAATATTAATGCACATAAGAGTTAGAAATATGGTGAAATAGAGAATTTGATAAACTAGGGCAGTGATGTCTAACTCTGGTCCTGGAGGCCTGGAGTTCGGCACAGTGTTTGTCCTGTTCAAATACACTTCAATTCATCGGTTAATTTCTCGGTTTAGTCAGTGTATCTGAGCAGGGAAATCAACTGGACCTGTGCTATGGATCATTTATACTATGTCACAGAATAGCTTGGTTAGTTCATTTATTCATTGTTTACCACTTAGTAACTGGTTGTTCTCACTCAGTTTCATATACCCTGGTAAAATTCGAATGGACTTGTACTTTCCTGATTATTTTCATACATTTACTTTTCCTCATGTACATTAGTATGTATAATATTTAGTTACTAATACTTTTCTCTGTTTCATTTTGTGAAGTTGCTATCAGCTTTGTGATTAGTCACTCATCTCACTATGAAGCTGTATCATTTGATTTTAGAATAAAAGAAGCCCAAAAAAGGAGGATAGCAGCTGACAAGCTTCAGTTCCCATGCTGATAGAAGCTGGATGTGCTAAGAAATTCCATTGCAGTTCTGAAAGTTATTCAGTACTTAAGTTTTTTATCTGGTACTTTTGTACTTATTTTTGGAAAGGTACTTTTTCTGGAAAGGCACTTTTACTTTTATATGAGTTATTATTTTATTGCAGTAACAGTATTTTTATTAGAGTAGAGGTCAAAACCACTTTACACACCTTTGTACTTAGATTATTTAACCTGGTAGGTGAGGTGGAGGTTGGTATAGTGTAGTGGTGGTTGGTATAGTGTAGTGGGTAACACCTCTGCCTTCTACACTGTAGACTGGGGTTCAAACCCCACCTTGGTAAACACTCTACACTATACCAATAAGAGTCCTTGGGCAAGACTCCTAACACTACCTTCGCCTACCTGTGTAAAAGATCACACTGTAAGTCGCTCTGGATAAGAGCGTCTGCCAAATGCCATAAATGTAAATGTAAATGGAGGTTCCTCTGTCTTTGTATAACATAAGTCAAAATCTGTGCTTACAATTGAACTGTCTAAGCCAATGTTTCTTAGTTCTGCTTCTCAAATCTCTTGATATTTTAGCACTTTCTCTGCTCTAACATACCTGATTAAACTAAACAACTTATAAATAAACCTGTTAACATGTGATCTGGATGTGTAATAGCAAGGAAAACACCTAACTGTATGCTCCAGAACCTCAAATAGGGGGTGTATTAGAGCAGTGGAAAGAGCACAGTGCTGAAGATCTGACTTTGACAAGATTCAAGACTAGTTCCAGTTTATTGTGTGTCTTGCTGTCTGCTTAACATCTTAAAATGTCCCGTTTCTCTTGAAAAGTGGTATCTTAGACATTTTGAGCACCTGAAACTTTCCTTTTGTATGTTATACAGGGGGGATTCAGGTCTAATGGGCCATCAGGTATGAGGGCACTCAAGGAAACTCTTGTTTATTCCAGGTTTAGCTGATGCTTAATAGTGTATTATTTCCAAATGAGCAAGATTAGATTGTAAATAGACTAATTCAATTACAGAAGTACTTAATATGGATATTGAATAAAGTAATTGGTTTCAAGCATTATTGGCCACCATTTACAGCAACATTATTTTGGGCTTATTTGATGCTTAAGCAGTATTTTTATTAAATGAGCAAAACTAGAATGTAAATAGACTGAAACTGGATAAGAGAATTGGCTTCGGGTATTTTGGCGCATCAGGTAGGATGCCCCTCAAGAAAACTCTTGTTTATCTCAATTTCAGCTGACGCTTAGTAGTGTATTATTTCTAAATGAACAAAATTATACTGCACATAGGCTAATTCAATTAAACTGTGTTTTAGAAGGAAATTGAATAACATAATGAAAGGGTTGGCTGCAGGTATTTTTTGGCATCAGGTAATGGGGCAATTAAAGAAACGTGTATTCCAATTTCAGTGACCCTCAGCAGAGTTTTCTGTTTAAATGAGCAAAACTAGAAAGTGAACATATTAATTAAACTACAGGATAAATTTTTAGAGGGGAATTGAATAAAAGAATAAAGTAATTGGCTTCAGGTATTATGGAGTATCAGGTAAAGTGGCACTATAGGAAACTCCTATTTATTCCAGTTTCAAATGATGCTTAGTAGGCATTCATTCTAAATGAGCAAAAGTAGACTCTAAATAGACTTCCTCATTGACAAAGTAAGTTTTTTGGAGGAAAATTGAATAAAATATTTAGCTTCAGTTTTTACAGAGCAATAGGTAAGTGGGCACTTGAAAAAACTCTTCTTTCCTCCAGTTTCAACTAATGTTCTAAAGTGTATGCTTTCTGAATGAGCAAAATTGACAGTGAATAGGCTAACTCATTTACAAAGTACATTTTTAGAGGGGAATTGAATGAGAGTATGAGAGAACTGGCTTCATTTATTATGGAGTAACTGCTGGGATAGGATCCAGCTCCCCCCGTGACCCAGAAGGATAAGCAGCTTAGAAAATGTGTGTGTGTGTGCATGTGTGTGTGTCTGTGTGTGTGTGCGTGTGTGTGTGTGTTATGGAGTATCAGGTAAAGTGGCACTAGAAGAAACTCATTTATTCCAGTTTCAAATAATGCTAAGTAGTTAATTCTTTCAGAATGAGCAAAATTAGACAGTGAATAGACTAAATCAATTACCAAAGTAAACGTAGAGGGACACTAAACAAGAGTATACAAGTATTGGCTTTCAGTATTATGGGCCAGGTAAGGAGGGGTACTTATTTCAACTGATCTCTATTAGAGTATTCTTTACAAAAGAGCTGAAGTAGACTGTGACTGGTCTAATTCAATTACAATTTTTTTTAGAGGGGAATTGAATAAGAGAGGGTGCAGTTTCAACCGTTTCAACTGCTGCTTAGTTGTATTCTTTCTAAATGAGCAGCAGACTGTGAATAGGCTAAAGGCACTACTGATTTTTGTGGGAATTAGAGAAATGACTTTTATCACTCATGGGCTATGACCCATATGATTCATCCCACTGTCTCATGATCTCTTGTCCTGCAGGCCATTTTTATGCTGTAGGATGTATATCTGAAATTAGATTGTTTGTTTGTGAGGGTCTGGTTAAATGGGCACGGAAACTTTTCTCCTGTGTGTGCGCGTGTGTGTGCTGTAGAGGGGGGAACATCACTCAGAGTACACACAGCCACACCATCAGGTTTAGGCCGGTTTGCACTCGTCGCTCAGAAGTTCACGTCAGCCGAGGCTCCGCCCCCTTCGTGAAGCGGATATAAACACGAGGTTGCAAACATGGGAACTGACAGCGACGCATTCCTCCACACACATACACACACACGCACGGCCAGCCCGGACACATCTGAGCACCGTATAGTCACCGCTGACGTTTGAAGTAGAGGTATTTATGTGTGTTTATAGTCGCGCACAGTGTGTGACCGTTGGTTCCCCCACACGCTCGTGACTTGTAAAAGCTCGTCAGGGCACTCAGCCCCTGATTTCTCCGGCTCCTGGCTGTTGAGATCCATGGAAGTGGCCGGCATCTACGAACGGGACTGCTTTGCTTTGCACCCGGGCAACACGTACGACGACGCGTACCGGCACCTGGCCGACGGCTCCATGACGAAGTTGGGCATCTCGGAGCACGAGAAGGCGATCGACATCAGCATCTACGTGGACGCCCCTTTCCTCCAGCACTACCAGCAGCACCAGCCGCCCCTGAGCCACGAGCTCCTCTTCCCGGACTACTCGACCGAGGACGCCAAGGCGACGGCAGCCGCGGCGGCGGAGCGCGAGGGCCGCGCTGAGCGCGAGCACGAGCGCGCCGCGCACCGGCTCGACTACGCCGAGCTGAACGAGACGCGGCTGGACGCCGTGCTGGGCGCGGACTTCCTGGGCCGCTGCTGGCGGAGCGGCGACGAGGGGCGCATGGACGGCGGCGCGTATCTGCGCGCGGCGGCGGCTTACCAGGCGGCGGGCAGTGCAGTCGGCGGTAGCCTAGGCGACGTGTCCGCCGCGTCGTCCTCATGCTCGAGCCCGCCGGGCACTCCGGGTCCCGCGCCCCAGACGAGCTCCTCCAAAGGCGGCAAGGCGACGCCCGCTCCCTCCGGCAAGGGCAAGAAGCGGCTGGACAAGGACAGCGACGAGTACCGGCTGCGGCGCGAGCGCAACAACCTGGCCGTGCGCAAGAGCCGCGACAAGGCCAAGAGGCGCAACATGGAGACGCAGCACAAGGTGCTCGAGCTCGCCGCCGAGAACGACCGGCTGCAGAAGCGCGTGGAACAGCTGTCGCGCGAGCTCGCTACGCTGCGCAACCTGCTGTCCGCCACCGGACAGTGCTGACCCGGGCGTCACAGTGTCCACTTTGCTCTGAACTCTTGAGAACAGCTCGACCGTAGAGGGCAGTTTTCCAAAACGGACTCGTGATGAACCATTTGTTTGTTTGTTTTATTTTTGGTTTTATTTTTTTCACGAATAATATTAATAATAATGTTTACAAGCGCGAGACAGCATGCGAAAATGGACAACGGCGCGCGCACGGGATTGCGCAACACTCTCCTCGTGCTTGGGGACTCTTTTTTATGTCACTTTTTGGTGTCCTGTTTGTTGATGTGTTTTTTGGTCTGTACAGTATTTTTGTACGGGTGGGATAAGAAAAAATCTCTGTTATTTAAAATACCCTGTGTTTTTTTCCCCCATATCTGGGGCAGTGGCTGTCAAGGGAAGAGTTGTACTGCAGAGGTATGATGCAACTCATTGTAACAGTATTGGCAATGCAATGAAGTAGTCTGCTAAAGAGAATAAGGGTACAAATGTTCTATTGCTATATAATATTTTATTGGATTAAATGATTTTTACACCTTTGAACCTTGGCTCTAATTGCATCTGTTTGCTGTTTGCCTCCTAATCACAGACACACCCCCTTCTCTGCTGTCTACAAAGAGCTGTCAGCTTAGGACACAGACACTTCAGCTAGATCATTGTAGATCACACTGAATGTGAGCAAATGCAGATGTTTTGGGGTTTAGTTTGAAGAATTTCTTATTCTGATTGAGCTGAAATATTTATAGGCACGACGAAGGGCTTGGATGAAAAAATAATGCGACAGATTCTTCCGTAATGTCCACTTACTGCACAGTAATATTTTTGCAGCAGATTTTAACACACTCCCCTCAAAAGTACCAACGTATGTAATGCTATGAAATAATCTATATGCTTGAACATGATTATATTGGCGTATAGTGCCTGATGAAAAATAATATGTAAGAATATTTAGAACGTTATGTTCTTACTGAAGACTTTGCAGGTATGGAAGACTTCGTGGAGGCTTTTTACTGGTTTGTCCTTTGTCCACCTCGACCAGCAGTAAAGCAGATTTATCTAAAGCACACAGACAGTGTCAACAGTCTATGAGTTCAGTGCTCTAGGGTCAAGGCTGGATCAATGTCCATCTGCTAAGAGCCCCCAAAACAACCCATTGTGCTGCACTCAGTTCTACTATCTGTTCACAGCCATACAGGTGGCCATAAGAACATTTCAGTAATTATAGCTCTTTGAAAACAAAAGAGGGAAAAAACAAAACAGCATGTGCTTTCTAGGAAACATACACCATAACGGGTGTCAAAACATTTATAAGGTGTTCTATAGGTGTTTTATAAGGAGTGTTTAGATACAAACAGCTAAGAGAGATTGACATAACCTCTTTTAGTCATCCCAGCCAGAAGTGTAATTTAATATATAGTGTATATATACGTGTGTGTGTGTGGTGTGTGTGTGTGTGTGTGTGTGTGTGTAAAAAGATTTCTTCCAAGTAATTCTGGAGCATTTATATTGATCCATTCTACATGAAATGTTCCCACAATGTAAAGGGCAGCTGGTGTTTATAAATGATGTAAAAAAAAAGTATAAATATAACGCCTCTATATAACCACTAATACTATATCACTGAGCATACAGTCTCAGGCACTGAAGGGTTAATTGTCCAAATCACTTCTTTCATCATATTTCTGACACACAAAGTCAGTGCTAGGCTTATTAAGCACATAATTTGAGAGTCTTAGCCGTCATTAAAGAGCCACACCTGTGGAGTCAGCGCCATAGGCCTCAATAAACCCCTCCATTACAATGCGAGTCATAAACTGATTCTCAGTCAAGACCACAAGCTTCCAGTGTAAAATAAACAAACCTGAACTGAACTTCCTCAAGAACTGGTGCTGTAACAGCTTGATACAATCTTTAAAAAAAACACCATACATTGCATCACGCTGCAATAAACAGCATCCATGAGAAACATGATTGTGAAAAACGACACTCTATGGTGAGTTAGGTTGTGTTTGGACATCAAGTGGGTTGAATCTGTTTATTCTGGGGGGTTGCCATGTTCGCCATGTCGTGAATCTGACTCAACAGGTATGGGACTCTTTAGAGCTGAAGGGGTGGAAGCCCACCTGGGTGTGTATATGTGAGTGTGTGAGAGTGAGAGAGAGAGAGAGAAGAGAGAAAAGTGGAAGAAAGAAACCTGACAGACAGGTGCTGACTGGTCAGAGAGGTGGAAGAAGAGGTCATCACCATGACAGTGGAGGGTGGGAGAGTGAGAAAGGGGAGTGAGGGGGGGTGAATCTGAGGAGTGTGTATGCGTGTGTGTGTGTGTATGTACCTTGTTACAGAATTTTATATTATAGTATCTACAGCCGCCTCTGCTGGATTTTCTTTTGCCAGAAGCAACCAAAAAAAAAGAAAAAGCTTCTAGCTGCTTCTTAAACATGCTATAAAATATTAACAGTATTAACAGCAGCACAAGTGTACACATAGTTGATGTGTTTTGTGTGTGTGTGTGTATGTGTATGTATACATACATATTTGGATTCTTACATATATTTATTTCATGCAGAACATTACAATTACACTGAAACACTTATTATATACTTCTTATATACTTATTATAATACATATGAGACATTACTATGAGACATAATTATTACATATAGCTTCTTATGTATGTTTACATAACCATCATTCTCAGTACTGCAGTGACACTGACGTGGTGGTGGTGTGTTAATGTGTGTTGCGCTGGTACGAGTGGATCAGACACAGCAGTGCTGCTGGAGTTTTTAAACACTTCAGTGTCACTGCTGGACTGAGAATAGTCCACAGTCCCAAAAATATCCAGCCAACAGCGTCCTGTGGACAGCATCCTGTGACCACTGATGAAGGTCTAGAGGATTATTAACACAAACTGTGCAGCAACAGATGAGCTACTGTCTCTGACTTTACATCTGGACCAACATTACAGTAGGAGTGTCTAATAAAGTGGACAGTGAGTGGACACAGTGTTTAAAAATTCTAGCAGCGCTGCTGTGTCTGATCCACTCGTACCAGTACAACACAGACTAAAGTATGCATATGGAACACATCATAATTACACATATCTATCTATCTATCTATCTTTTTTTTTTTTCATGTTTGAGAGTACGGCCATGGTGAACCTTCTGCAGACCTGGGGAAATGCTGTTGTTTTGAGTACAGAACATTTCACAACACTTCCCATTCTGAAGGAGGAGCGCAGGGTCGCTGCGTGTTGCTCAATACTTCCAACTTCCTTCTCCTTCAAAGTGGGTCTATTTTTTTTTGTTGCCCAACTTTCACAAGCTCTACTTGAGTACAGTTACTACACTGAGCCAACAATCAGACATTTATAGCTCTAAAACAGTAACAGCCACTACTACAGGCTATGTTGTCAGAAACATCTCACAGAAAATGAATGAGAAGACAGAAAGAACTCACAGAATAAAGTTAGAATGAACTGAATGCATGTTCCTGACAGTTACTGTATTTAGAGATATCTGTACATTTCTCTTAGATTTCCCCAATAGTTCAGAATCACACATTATTTCATTTGTTCCAAAACCCATTTCACTAAACTGTTTGATACAGCATTTTTAGTGTAGTACTGTACATATAACCAACAAAACCACAACAAATACTTTATTCTCCATCTATGTTGCCCCACATTTGAAGTCACTTTTTAGCTATAAACTAGCACACAGGTGACCTGAGGTTAGTGCAGTTTTCACTTTAGTGAAAAAAGGAAGCTGGGAAACCCATGTAGTCTGAGCGTGTCATACTGACATAGGCATGATCAATGGCTCCATCACAGCAGTGAAATGAGACACCGCTTTTTCTTGTCTTCCCACAACCGATGCTCTTTTATTAATGATGTCCATGTCATCGCTGTCAGATTAAAAACTCAGAACTAGTGCATTTCATTTTTGTTTGAACATACCAGCTTCTCTTTATATTGTGTGAAAAGGTTCATTTCCAGTAGAAATGGCCCAAAATGACTTGGAATAAAACTGTGTTATACTAACTTACATTGAAAGTTAAAAAATGGTTTCCTTCTTCTAAAAAGTTGCCATTTTTGAGATGCAATGGAAGCTAAACTACAATTCAACATAGATGTTCAAAGACTTCCAAGTGCTGCAACTGTGTATAAAGGATCTGCCCCCTCCTCCCAACTGAGTGCGAAAGTTGGAGAGCTGAAGTGGGACACTACTTCTTCATTTAAATGCATTATCAATAGTCTATTATCAAAGGCTAAAACACACAATGGTAATATTTTAAATCACTATTAATACTTATTCATTTTAAGGTCAAATGCTTAACAAAACTACTCCGTTTATATTTATCATCAGCTTTCATGATGCATTTTATTTTAAAAATGATATCAGTCAAATGGATTTATTCATACTCAGTACACATAAAGCAACATCTAAACAACATTTATTCATATTCAGCAAACATAGAGCAACTTTAGTATAAATATGTGACCTTTGTATCTTTGTTACACATTAACTGACAAAAGTAACACACTGCAGCGCCAAGAAGCTTAACTGTCCCTTTTAATCTGAACTCACTCTGTCTACAGTGTTCTGGTACATTAAGAGTTAACACTGAACCAGACCCCGCCCACTATTGTCACGTGCTCCATATCCGTGTCCTAGAACGCTCAGTACTAGCGAGCGTGGGGTTTTCCCACACGTTCCCTCTGACGCCATCCCTCCAGTCTCCGCCTACATTCCAAAGTCCCGCCCCCTTTTGTCCCCAAGCACAGTTTACCGGCAGCGGCGGGGCGTGTGTCCGTAACCGGGCTGTTGCGCAATGTCTCCTGCCAAACAAAAGCAAAGTGTCCTAAAGACTGCTCCGGCTGAGTTCATCCCTGCTTCCCAAGAGCGCTACACTGCAGGCCTACGAGCCGAGAAACACATTCCCTACATGGGCAATTCCTGTGGCCTTTTTTTTTTCCTAGGAATGCTGCTCACAGTTAGCACCAGCACAGCACGGTAAACGTTTCAAGGGAACTTAGTAGAACAGGATGCTCACACTTCCCATAAGCATATCTTAGCGTGGGTGTCATTCATTAAAAAGTACTTTATCAAAATACCATTCACTGAACTAATTCAAACCTTTATTTTTAACCACTTCTTTGCCTCCAGTGTGCAGTTAGCTGTTCTAGAAAGTTCTGCGTCCTTCTTTTTCACCATAGCCCATGTTAATGTTGAAGTGTATGTAGCTGTATAGAAAGAGCTGTGACAAGATTTTATTAAAAAAGCAGCAGATAATGTAAATGCAGAGTAGATACATGGATCAAAACATAAGGTTATTTGTAACTCCAGTGCTTTAGCTGTTAATCCTGAGTAAAACAGTAATCTCACGCAGCCGTTTCTACTCTTATACCGCGTGATTTCCTGTGTTAAGGGGAAGTGCGTCGATTTTGCAAAATGTCTGCACAATTCAGTCGTTAAGATGTAAACAAAGTCATTTGGAGTGGTTTGATGTGAAATGGAGCATCCCTGTTAACAAGAGGATCG